TTGCTGTGTTTTTCTTAAAATATTTCAAGCCATTAAAGCATTCGTAGGAATTGTTGCAAATAAATCGATATTGACAGGTTGACTAACTCCACTCAACCTTTCAGCAGACAGAAAGGTAAGAAAATGAAGGAAAACATAAGCAAACTTAGCCATCAGCTCACCCACATCAAATTAAGTTTCCATACATGGAACCACAGGGCAAATTAAATAGTTTTAAATGTGCAACAGAACAGGGGCATGGGTGGGTGTTTCCATTTTCGATTGGGAAGAAGCATTAACATTGTGGTGTATATTTCACCCACCGTAAGATTTATATGAAAGTATAAAATTTTATTCAAAGAATAATACAAGCACGAAATAAACACTTTAAAAAACTTCACAGTAGAATTCCTTGCCCTCGTACACGTTTCTTCCGATTTACCTTCTCGAGAGCCAAAAGGTGATGGATACCTCCTACGGGCAAATACAATAATATAGGAGAATAGAAGAAGGCGAGCACAAATCGAAGGACAAAAATCGTACACACGCAAATTGACCGCAAAACAATTTATATGAAACATGAACATATACACAAACATCCGTGCATGCCTGAATTTCGCATTGACCATGTACGAGGACGGCAGAGGAAGTATAAAAAGAGTTCAGTATTTCAGTATCATTTTTTATACATTTCCAAAACAATTTTCAATGTTATTTGGCCCACCAAATCCAAGTTTACATTGAGCATTGAATAGAAGCAGAAATCAGTACCAAGCAAATAGGGCGCCTGTCCATGCTATGCCGTTGACATATTGGAGTGGGTGTGATTGAAGCGAAATTTTCGACACCCCGAGGAGGGGGCGTAATATACGTTTCTGCAGAGGCAGCAAATGAGGTTTGCATGCAACGGTATGCTGAGACTGCTACGGCCCATTGTATACCAAAGAGCGTCATGTTGTCTCGTCATGGCGTGCTCTTTATAAAATTTTAAACAGTTCCGCACAGCTGTGAAAAAATACCAAAAATATTGAACAAAAAGTGTGAAAAAAGTGTAAAAAACGTGTAAAAAAATGTAATAAAAGGTCCCTACCGACAACGTAACCAAAATAATGCACAATTACAAAAACAAAATATTACATAAACGTAGCGGCATAACTCAAAACTCTTTTTGTTGGGTTACTATAAAAACAAATCAAAATAAAAAACTTCCTGTTGCCACGCTCTCATCTCTCGCAAAGCCGTGCTCTCACTCTCACTCACTCACTCGTGCATGCCACGAAAACATATGTTAATATGACCCACACTGCTGCCATCTCGTATTTTTCCTATCTGCTCTCGTGTCTTACTTCCTGCTATAAGAACATATGATTTCGTTATGTTTTGACAGTTAGAACAACGTTTCTCTGTGTTTTGGACTCTGGTCATATGAGTTGCATCCCTACCGTATGATAACTGTCAAAAAAGCTCGCCTAACTGTTCTACCCTGTTTCAAAACACCCTTGGCAAAAGCTTTAGCATTTTTTATTATATTTTCTTTTGTCGTTGTGTGATGTAAACGCTTCGTCCCGCTATTTCTTTTGTCCTCGAGGACATTATAATGTAATAAAATAATGACAGTAGCAGGAACGGTATGCCTGATTAATAAGAAAAAAATTTAGGTAGTTCCTTCTCCTTACGCCGTTGGCTTTTATCCTTGGCGCATGGTTTGGTGTTGTAACTACTTTCGCAAAGGAATTGTTAGCAGTTCACTTTTGTTTATTAAATGTGATTTTCTTTTTGATTACTTTTTTCAAGAAATAACAGAACTACACCCACAAACACCGAAAAAATTTGAGTACACAAAACTTAATTTTTTGGAACCGTCGACAGATAATAAATCATTTCTCCAATTGACTATCTATTATTGCTGTTTGCAAGCTTTCTTAATGTGTTTTTTACGAATTACTCAATGGTACATCTTAAAATTATTCGGATACATAATATAACCCGCATAATGGTTTAAATGCTTTCCTTTTGAAGCATTTAATATAATCGCAATAATTATTTCTCAGTTATAATCGTAATAGTCGTCATAGTCGTATAGTCCCTATTACAGATTTTTATAATATTTCAAGTGAGAACTACATTTGATACGAAAGAAATTGATTCCGATAAGAGTTCAGAAGAAAATATTAAGGAGACTGGACTTACTTAATGTAAGCAGAAGTTAAGGAAATTTTTGCAAATTGGGAGATTGCTAGCTTCCTTAAGAGAAAAACATATTAAGCGACTATTTTAGAAACCACCTTATCTTGAGCATAAATAAAAATGACTCTATATACCTATGTATATGAATAATTAAAGTTAAGTACATTCATATAAATAACATTGGTAATAACTAACAATAACTAATAATTATTGTTAATATTTTCAAAAAAATATTCTTTATTTAAGCCATTTTATCAGAGTATTGGACCTGTATCGATCAAACATTATAGATTAAACAGAGACTGTTTTGCAACGGGGCATAAAGCATTATTAGTGAATAATGCATATAAAATAAAAGATATAATATGTTACCATATATGTAATATATAATACGTAATTAATATGTGTTTTGTAAAATAGTACATATATAGTATATAGTATATGTATAGTATATACTTTCTTGCCTCTGAAAGCAGTTGCAACCTTTGCTCGGAATAACAATGAACAAAGCGTTACAGACAATAGCGAACAAAATGGCATGCGATTATTTATAATGTGAGGACTGGAAGAAAGATGAATCTTTGGATCTGGCTGTCATACAACCTAATCTAATCGATTAGTTAAATGTTTGAATTTTATAATATTTTGAATTATACTTCATTTTATGTAACAAATTATTAAGAAATTATTGTATAGCGCCAATAATTTTAAATTTGAATTTGACTGCTATTTAAACTGATGATTTATGCAGAAGTTCCAGTATGAAAAACTCTTACATTAGTCATTTAATTTACCCTGTTTGGTAAGTATATTATTTAATATATATATATTGTTCTTAAAGAACAAACTCTTTATTAAAGTTTTTCACCAAGATTGAATACGTAAAGAACACATTGTTCGAGTATATATTGTATTATATAAATTTTATTCTTAAATTCTTAAAATGTGATATAAGGTTGTAACGGGTTTCATTACAGGTCATTATGACCTGAAATACCACCTTCATAAACTACGATTATCTGTTAATACGGAATGCAGATTATGCCTTGAAGATGAGGAAACTACTATACACATTCTTTGTGACCATCCAGCTTAAATACGCACAAAAGAAATTATGGAATTTCTGTCATTAGAGAACAGATTAAAAGCGTTTCTTTAGATTTAGTTCTGGACTTTGTTCACAAAGCTTTAGAGGGCTTTGTGTAATCAATAGTGAAATTGGTACAATAGACCTCTTTTGGCTGTAGTACCAGCTGCTGCGTGATTTCACGCCAAAGTTTTAATAAATCAAAAATGTAAATGTTAATTTTTTTTTAAATCGGCTCAGATTTAGGTATATGCCGCCCTACAAACTGTCAGTATTGTTATATACATATATTGAGATAAAACATTTAATATGGACGTTAAGTGATAGAAATTATATATTATTATAAAAACTGAATCAGTCGTAAAGCTAGAAACGGTTTTCTTTAAACATTTATTTCGAGATTAGTCTGTTACTTCAAAAAAATTTGAACACCTATTTATGTTCGAATATTTGCTGTTTTATATATTTGCATAAAATAATTTGAAAATAAAATTAAATAATAGGCAGATCAGCTATTCGAGTGCAACAAACATCTTCGAGCTGTAAATTCTAGAGCATTTAAAGTATTTGACCCACCTGTTCGAGTTCGATAATATATTCGAACATTTTGAAGCATCAGTTCAGATACAGTTTCATACAAAGAAAAGTTTTAAATTTTTTAATATTTGTTTGTTGGAGTAATTAAAATAAAACTAATCTTCATTAGTAGTAATTTAGCTTTATTTTACTTCATTTTAAATTGGAGGTATTGTATAGAAAATTATAACAATTATATTATATATATAAAGCCTACAGCTATGGCCGTCTTTTAGCCGTTTGCCGGATGTTAAGATTAATCTTTTAACAACTTATCTTAAAAATGAAATACAAATTATCACCTATAAATTTTATTAATCTTTATTATAAATCCCTATTTGTATAGACTCGTACTTCCGCTTAAAATGAATAACTGTTATTTTACATAATACTTGTAAGATCTCCTATCTTCTAATTTTTACCTAATACTCATTAATGCCCAATTATATATGATATATTTTCTTTTTTATAATTTCATAATAGTTTCTAATATCAAGGATTTTTATTTTAAATTGCAATGCTTATCGAAGACTTCATAAATACTTCAGATGATTTGCCGCTTCGAATATTTCAATCAAATTACACACACCATATACGGATTATTACCATTCATACACCACATCCATTAGCTCCATAAAGTAATGCAATGAATTTCTTTGGAAACATATGTGCGCAAATGCGAGGAAGGGATGGGAAGGAATGGGTGCATGAGAAATGAAATCCACTTTTATTATTATATAATAATTTTTCAAACAGACAAACGAGCGAACTATAGCCCACAACAATTTTGCATGTCCTTTCTTGGTACCAAATATTTACCATCGACATCGACGTCGACATCAACATCGATATCAACATCAGGAAAGACAATAACAATCACAGTGCCATGCTACTAACGCTACTCACAATTTTTGGCTTTTACATGTCAAAGACGGAGGAGTGCATTCCAGCTACCACATCGAACGCATTCGACTGTTATGTCAATGAATGTTTTTTCTTTGTGAATTTTCCGAACTAATTCCGAATTATGAGGAAGAAGCATACAAAAGAACTGTTAAGAAATACCACAACCCACCACAACCCACCCAAACATAACAAATTCCTCCAAACTTTCACACAACCCTCGCACTCCTGTGGCCGCCTCACCCAAACCTATAGCTATTTACATTACCTTGTATTTTTCTTGCAGTGTATTCCGTGTAGTCAGTGTAGTTTTGAGGATATAAAATATACGAGTGTATTTTTTTCGGTTTTGGTTTCAGCTCCACGCCACAAAAATAAAATTCATGTAAAAAATGCGTAACTTCTGTTTTCTGCCGTCTACTTCTCAATGGCCAAAAGCATAATAAATGTTCGACTCATAACAAATTTCAGTATAGTTTTTCATAAAATGTTCCTTCTTAACTTGGCCAAAATAAAAATTATCGCACTGCTTTATTAACACTTTTTTTGTTGTTTTGTTGCTTGTTACAAAATACTTGGTTCGCACAACATCCCAGAAACGAATCCAAACCAAAGCAAAAACCAGTCCCCAACAGAAATGGAAATATAGAAACCGGAGTAGGAACAGAAACAGAAGAGTTAATAAATAAAAACCAAAACTTCAATTTTCGCGTTACACGGCTTAAATAATAATTATTAACGGAGACCGCTGACACCGCTGAGACCGCTGAGACCGCGTCCGTTCGCACCGTTCGCGTCCGTTCGCGTCTTTATAGCGACCTTTTGAGGACGTTCGCGTTTTGCATTAAATTTGCTGTTTTCATGTAAACAGCAAATAATTTGATGTGATTTTTATGAAAATTTGTAAATTTATTCTCGTAAAATTGATGGGCTGCCATTTCTTTACGACGACCTCAACGATGACTGTTTTTTTCTGTACTGATTGAAAATTTTCGCCAACATATCCTAGATAACTAAAAGACCCGTTTGCTCGAGCGTTTCGTTTCAAAAGTAATTCTTAGCTAATATGTTTCGTTTCTCAAGCCAAAGCTCCCAAACAAAAACAACTGTTAAAAGCTGTAACCAAAAAGCTTTGACAGCGTTTTTTTGATGTACGTATGTTCAACCAAAATGAGTAACCCCACCAAAAATAGCAAATCCAAAAAAAAAGCAGAAACTCGAGTATGCCGGAGAAGAGACGAGTGAAGAACGGGAAAGAGGATTTGGAGTATTGTAATATTATATATAAGTATACAATATGCTAATATATGAATGTGTGTCTTAAAAGCAGTTACTAAATACCCTAAGACAACGATGTTTCGGCCCGGCCATTGAACAAGAACAAAAATAAATAAATGATAATTAATGAATATAAAGGAAAATATTACGAAGGCAAATAAGTACCGGAAATTAACTAGGAAATTGTAAAACAAGTAGATTATGCAGTGGTAATGCCAATCCCTCAACAATTTCAATATCAATTGATGATTATAGTACTCTAAATATCAATCCACATTTTATTCCTCTTTTTTTGAAGTTCTGTTTCAAAATCTAAAATAAGGCTTATCGGCAAAAAATTTTGCCAAATGACTTTCTGCAGCTCTTCGGTCGACCAATTTTTTACTCCCAAGAGAGTTATGCAAAAACCTGTGGTAACTGTGGTAGACAAAGTGTACAAAATGCGGGCTTTGCATACAAAAGTGCCCAACGAAGTCTCGTCAATTTGTTTTAACTGATCAAAAACGCGTGTGCCCTGGCCATATCATGATGGAACACAACTGCTTCTCTGTTGACCAATTCTGGTCGCTTTTTCTTGATTGCTTTGTTCAAGCATTTGAGTTGCGAGTAATAAAGGATCGAACTAACGACTACATCAGACTGCAAAAGCTTGTAATAAACAATTTCAATTCGACGACTCGACATAACAATGTTTGCCGATAACCCAGACCAGACCAGTTGATAACCCAGTTTGTGGAGAATGACCAGCTTTTGACCACGATCGCTTCGATGTTTTTGTAATATTTAATTCATTTGCGTCGCCCGTAAGGAATAGTTTGAAATATGACAGTAATTTGCTTTGGTGCATGTGGTATCCAAACATCAAACTTCTTCGCGTAGGTTGGATTTTTTCAAATTTGCAACACAAAATCTAGCAAACCTCTCCTTAATCCGGCGTTCACTCCAAGCATACTCATTGTGAACCGCATAAATTTTTCGTCATGTTTTTGCAGCAGTTGTCCTTTTTTATAGTAATTAAGCATAACTTAGCATATTTCTTTAGATATTTCACTAATTTTTAAATTAATACAAATTTTTTACAAATAAATGTAGCCTGAAATGTCGCATTTGAAACACATATTCGTTTGCCCTAATCGGATCGGTGTGGCTGGACATTTAGGTATGAACATCATCTAGTGAGAAATAGACGAACACTTTTTATGTTACCCATTATATTAGGTTAGATTTTGAAAGTGTTGAGATTATGTTACGCACACTAACATATTATTTAAAGTACTTTCATCTGATAAGTCTAAGTTCACTTTTACCAATAGAGTGAATAGAGGAATTTACGTATATCGTATGGATACTTAATTTAATAGCCTATGTAAAGGTTATATATGTTAAAAAACTAATTTAATTCAAGTTTGCGATTTTCTCACTACAATATTGAAACCATAACATTTAGGACAAGTGAACTAATCGAAGGGATAAGAAGATAGATCCCTGTTACCAATCCCCCAATCTAAAAGTTATGACAACTTGAAATTTAAATAAAGACCCATTAAAAGCATTAGAGAAACTTAAAACGCTTGAAATATAGGTGTGGAAAAAAATGTTGGAAGAGTTAGTTTTTAAACAAATAGTGTATTTAACTAAAGGGCCTGATGATAATACCAATGAGAATATTATTTCCTATATATGCATATTGATGTATATATAAAAAAATTTGCTACGAACATTTATTATAATTAATTAAGTTAATTGCAAAAAAAAAATTTCAAAAAAAAATGTTTTATAGTATATCTCTCCTTGACATATTCCTGCCTGTACCACTGTCCTCTTTTCTAGGTTCTCGGTCACAATGAAACGCCAAGTAATCAAGTAATTGCAAAACAGATAGGTTGGCCAGTCATCTGTCTCAGAATCTCTTTCAGAACAGCTTTTCAAATGTTGGGTATACCGGAAGTATTTTGCTAACATTTGTGGGAGTCTTTCTGGATTTATCAATTTACATGAATTACAAAATGAAAATATTAGGTTTGTTCCACAAGCTATTCGTAGTAACTTTGAGTAAGACTGTGTATACACAAGAGCGTTCCACCAGCAAATTTTCGAGTAAATAAGAGCATTTGAGAGAGCGTAACATCCTTGTCGAAATTTGAAAACGCTACACAGACTTTACTCTTAGATCTGGTGTTCTCACCAGATTTTACACAAAGGTCTTCCATGAAAATCTGTGTAAAGAGCGTAATTTGGCACTTTATTTGTGTTACGCTCTCAGTTTGTACTTTACTTCTGTTTTATTTGGATTTTACTACGAGCAACTCGTGGAAAAGACGTGACCATATTTATCGATATGCATGTTGACCGCTCTTAGTAATGAGGCTTAGGATTATATTAACTATTATATTGGGTTTGCTGACGGTTCAGTAGCGATTAAGTTACCATGCTAGAACTTCATTCTTGTCGAAAATGTGAGACGAACACAGGAAGTGTTTCACATGTGCTTCGTTACTATCTAGCGTATTAATAACCAAGATAAAATATGCTAGGTATCTGGTTCTTCTAGAGATAAAAATTTATGGAAGATTCCAATTGATTTTAAAAACTTCGAGTTTCGTATTGTAATAAGGCATTAGGTCTAAGTATATTCTTTAGATCGCCGTTATAACCTTGCCTAAAACAGCCGATCAGTATATAAGAGTATGTATCTTATCATTCACTATTCCCCATTTACTAAATTTTGATGTCTCACTGAAGGAATTATATGGTGAGTATGAAAATATTGAAAAACAAAGACGTAAAAGTTTGCCTTTGTATGAATATTCTGGAATATTTTGAGAAACGTGGAAATAGCATTTATTTATCAGTGGAAGCAAACACAGTTTACAATCAGTACTATTGCTCAATGACAAGGCAATCATCCGAAATCATCCGCCGTCATCCGCCATCGGTTCTAATGGCTTACTTAATAGATTCAAAAGAAGTAGCATACGAGATTAAAACCTTCTTAATTCAACTAATTCATTGCAGTGCCCATATATGGAAACTTCATGGTGATCTTCAAGTTGCAGCTAAATTGATTGAACTACAAATAGGCTATATAAAAAATTTACAAAAATATACCAATTGTGTTTTTTGGTAATACCCAAATCCATGCGCACAAAAAATTGTCTATGTGTGCATATTTTGAAAATGAAACACCAGAACAATATCGTGTACGTTTTAAGGTCTATTGTCTTCAATATAGATTGTTGCTATTGTGATGAATAGAGAGAGCAAATTTGAATGAAATTTATCACTGGTGGAATATTATGAATGATGAAATGTTATTTTTGGTGGAATCATTATCATGCAATTAAATATGAAAAGGAACCGTTGGAAAAGTCAAACGGAAAGATAACTTTATTAGTATTTAATGTTCCACCTAAACCTTCGAAATGTTAACAGATTTTATTTGATTATTATGTTGAGGATCTATGAGTCAGTGCACTTGAGCTTCTTTACTCTCTATTAACTGCGAGCTTTCTTAATAACTGGATTATTGTTTATCACTTCATCAGACTAAGCAATAACTGACCTCAGATCTGCATACCTTCCCGAGGAGCCTGTAATGCAACGTCAACTATGACAGTAGTGACTATATTACTTAATAGAGCGTATTGTATTTTGTTAGAGTGGTTTCGAAAAGTAGTGAACTACAGCAACAAAAATTATTTATATATTATTTTATTAGCTGTTTCGAGTATTGTATTCGAATATTCATATTTTTTAAAATATTAATAAAATTTGGAAAATAATTTATTCTGTAATAAAAGTTTTGAGTCCACTAATCGACATAACTTCCTTGCAGTTATCATGTAAAGTTTCTCTCTTATAAATAACACTCCTTCTTCTGTAACTAAATCATCCTCTGCAACATTCTCTTTACTTTTCTCCAGAATTTACCTAAAAATACGAAACGAAATTTTCGGAGATTAAATGAAGCTTCGCAACTAATGACTGATAATGTACTGATGGGTGGATCGTAGTCAACATATTGCATTTTAGGTCTGATAATAATTAACGCATTTGTGTATATCCCAATTGCAATGAGTTCTTTTTAGAAATCGTATGCTTTAGGCATATATCAGGCTGCCATCTATATTTCACACAAAAAAGCGATCTTATTCCTTATGTCAATCATAATTCACCATTTTTAAAAATTAAGACTAATGTGGACTCCTGGAAATGTTGGTTTAAAAAAAAAAGAGCTTGCTGATATTGCTCCCAAAAATTTTTGTCTTTTAACTCAAGTTCCACTCTTCATCTAGAACTCATAGCCGGCGAACCGGTGTTACTATTTGGTGTTCTAAATGTGCGCCCTCTAATTTGTTTCGTACGAGCCTAAGGAACAATGTTGGAACGAAAAAACAAGATTCTGTTCAGACATTGCCTTACAAAAGTCTAAATTTTGGATTGGGTTGCAGAGGTATTCTCTCATGTTTCAATACCCATATGTTTGTATTGAATCCCCGATTTTTTATAGTAGTAGCTATATGGTTGCAGTTTCGACATAACTTTGACACAATATTCATAAGCATATGATAGTCTGCGCTGTTAATCAACTGTGTGATTTGTTAAAGCTAAAGCGTCTCCAACTGAAGTCTAAAATTTTTCGTTTATAATGTTATTCCTCAACGTGTTCTGGTTCCAAGAGTCTAAGCACACACTTCTAGCCAAAGTACGCGATTTTGCTTTGGACTTTACACACCATAAATATTTATATACAGTGTTCAGTTAAATTAAAATTAAAACGAGCACTATGATACCTAGACCGAGAATAGGTTTACTCTCATCTATAACCCATTTCTGAGTTTGTGGAGCTTAGCTCAGATCAACAACTTCACTTATCCTACGAATTTTATAAGAGTGTATTGATTTATTTATTATTATTTATTCATTGTCTTTTTTTGTATTCAGCTATATGAAAATAAATACTTAAGTTTTTAATTAACGATTACTGCCTGCGTGTTTAAAGCAAGTTTCTTATTTGATTGCTCCCATATATTCGTACTCAATACGAAAAAAATTATTTACTGAAGTCAATTATTGCACTCCAGCTGCGTTGCTTCTTAATCAATAACGTCAGCAACCTTTTCAAAAAATTATGTTAATATTATTACTTTTATAACTAATTATGAGGAGGGGTTAAAAAAATATTGTAAGAGACAAATATCGAATTTTATGTTGTTTTCAACTTTTTCTCCGGTGGAGGCTTCATATCAACATTATCTGTTTTCGCCTCTGCGCTTGGTTGCGGAGGAGCTGGACTAGCTTCAGCCGGATTAATTTGACTTCCATTATTAGGTGGTACACTTGCTGGTGCAGTTACTGATTCGTTTGTGGTACCTTCTGGTGGTGCAACCTGTGCTGGTTGTGGTGTTTGCTGCTGCTGTACCGGTTGCTGTTGTTGTTGTTGTTGTGGTGGTGGTTGTGCCTGTGGTTGCTGTTGCTGCTGTTGTTGTTGCTGAGTTTGTTGTTGTTGCTGTTGTGGTTGCTGTGGTTGCTGGGCTTGCTGCTGCTGTTGTTGGTGCTGCTGTTGCTGTTGCATTTGTTGTTGATGAATTGTTGGTGGTATTGGCGGAGGAAATTTTCGTAAAAGTTCAGCAAGCAGCATATCAACCCGTTGTTTTTGGAAAACTGTCGCACTCTCATCCTTACCCTGATTAGCGTTCTTATTATTGCCCGATTTCGATTTATCAGAAACTAAAATAAAATATATTTTTCAAAAAATAATAATAACAAATCTAGCACGATTATGGTTCTTGGTTTTCTATATGCAGACCTATTTTATAAAACTGGGCGTACTGAGCAATTATTTCCACTTCGCTTTTTTCGTCATATCTTTGGTTCTCAACGATTTGAAAACGCATTGAAATTAACTACCAGATGTAGTAGCTTTACCATGATAGTATCATTATCTAGTGAATTTACATTCAGCAACTTCGCTAGCTTGATAATGTCATGAGGATGCATTGCATTATTCTAGCGAGAAAGGTGTTTGAAGCATCAAACGAAAGAATTCATTGGAGGCGATCGCGTGAAGTGAACTAATTGTGTATACAGGCACATAACAAAAGCGCATGGAGAGAAATACTAAGTCCGACCTAAATTCAAAAACAGGTTGTTATAGGAAATTAAGCATATATATATATATATCGAAATGACGTGGTTCCCCAGATATGGGGCTTTAAAGTTGAAAACTTTTTAGTCTTTTCATAAATAACGAAACGCGCGCCACCTAAAGGCAACTGGTATACGAAACTTTTTATTTCACAAACTTTTATTGCATTTAGTTTTTCGTTTTTCATGTAAAAAATTTGAATGTTGAACCACATTGATATATAGCGGAGTTGAAAAGGTTGCTCAGTATCTTGAAATCCGTTGAAAAGTAATTTAAAAAAAAATAACTACAATAGTGCCATGAAACGTACTTAAAATTAATTTAATTTATAATACTAACGTGATTTATTCGCGGTAAAATCCCAACTGTATCCCTTATTTGGATTATAGCGAGCATAACCACTGACTTCTTCAAAAGCAGATTGAAGATGATTTACAGTGTTTAACTAGAAATAAAAAGAAAATTATCTATTATTGTAATTTATTCAGTTTCTCAGTTACTATTAGCACCACCGGACTGTAAAATATTGTATTTTCGTTCACGAAATAATTTTTTGGAAAAAATATTCGTACTGGTCTGTGCAAAACAAATTAAATATTTTTTCGACCTGCAGTACATTTTGGATTGAGAAACACTGCTTGAAATGATTTGACAAATATTATGAAAATATGATATTATTACATGTCCTAGAAAGTTTTGGCAAATGCGGTGCTAGACAAAAGCTTACCGACATATAATTTATAAATTTTAGTTTTAAAATTTATCTCATGCTGACTTACAATTCTTGAATTGACCACATTTCCCAAGTCCGGTGCCTTGTAAATTGTGCCAGCTATGATATAGTAATCTGCCATTGGTGTTGTATTCGTTTGACTGTGTCGATGTTGCTTGCGTACCACATATAATATCGGCTCAGCAACATGAAGTAAAATATACTCAACACCAACCATATTTCTACAAATACATCGTCGTTATCCTCGCAATGCAGTTTACAGTTTATATTTACTTACACTAGATGTTCCATAGATAGACGCTGCATACGTATTGTCTCGTTATTGCAGGTTCTTTCATAGAACGGATTAGATTTCCGACAAAAATAGTCCATTACATTTTGTCCATTTAAAGTGGCAATCATTGATGAATCATGCCATGACACCCATAAAGGATTTTCTTGTGGTGTCGGTTGTTGCATTTGACGATTTGGTAGCATATTTCTAAATTAAAATTTCTAATCAGTTACTAAAAACACAACACTTTCTTATTGGCTGTCACTCAAACAAATGATAACCACCGCGCATTGAAGTAAAATGATTAACCATATTAAACGAAACGGTGGTATTTAATGAAACTACAGTGGCGTCTATAATAATTACATGAAAAATTCGTTAAGTCAAAAAAAATTGCAGCAAACAGCAATTTAATCCAGATTTCTTGATTTCTCGACGTTTGACATTTGACTAATAGTACGTTTCTACTACTTACTTAATAAGCATAACTTACTAAGTAAATTTCATTAACCATGCAAAGAGCTTCCGTTTTTTTCACTTTAAAATACAATAAACAAAATTCGACCAAAATTATACCAAAAATGCCGAATGCATCATTGGAAATGATCGAAATTTGACATATTTACACAAGAAACAAACTGTAAACATAAACAAAAATTAGACAAAATGTAAACATAAACCAAGAGATAAGAATTTTTTAAAATATTTCTTTTTTATAAATAATATATATAATTGATATATATATAAATAAGTTTATATATTACATATATATTTGACATCAATAGGCATTTTCTTTAGTAAGTATGTCGCAAAAAAACAAATAATATAAGCACTACCTTCGATGACAAGTCTGGACAAAATGCAAAACAGTAATTGAAACTGAAAGAATTGAGATGATGATAGCAACATGTTATTTATTTCATTATAAACAATTTCATATTTCTTAGAATTAAACATAATTTCTTATATTAATTCTTAAAACTAAAATTATTTTTAATTTGATTCCTTTTTATTCACAAAATAATTTTTTAAATATAAATATCTTTAATACTTCTTTGAAAATTGTTTGTAGCACTTTTTTTCAAATTTATTTCTTTTAAAGAAAATAAATGTCTAGCACTTTTTCAATTATTTTTCAATTTTTTTCCGCGATCTTTGCTCGTCCGACGCTCATCAAAATTCTTAAATGATCAGAAATCTGCAGATTTCGATATACACAAGCAGACATGTGTGCAGACTTAACAAATAATTGAAAAGTTTTAATTTTACCGCATACATGTCTCAGACTGAAATGTGGTATGCAAACTTAAATATACACGGTGCGATTTGGTAGCACGCATACCTTGTCTGCAAACATATAGCATCGACTATAGTCTGCTTAAAAGAAAAAATTACTGATAATGCTATTTTATGAATATGCACAAGTTTGCAGAAAATAATTCAAAATATGAATGCATATCGGTATACATAAATAAAATATTTGTAATTTATAGAAAATACTTTATAGATAATCTTCTTTGGCGCTATTTACATAATAAGTATAATAAGTAGTAATAAATGCTTCATTTATCGGACGGACAGACACATTATTTCTTTCTTTATTTTTACTATGGGAAGAAATCCCTCTGTAACGATAAAAATATATTACGACCGTATGCGAGTTCGAGTAAATTGAGGTGAAGTAAATTGAAATTTCCTAGGGATTTTTTGCACTGCACTTATGTAAATTTTTAATTATTTATTTAGTGCACTTACACTTTAGTACACTTGTTATTTTTGGTTAAAAGTTTTCAAATTTATTTATTTATTAAACATCTTTTAAAATTTTCACAATGGTAACACCTAATTTGATATCTAATTTACCCTACTCGAAATTCTCGTAAATACCAACATTCGCTGCTATACCGACATGATTTACTATTTCCCTCAATTTACCATCAATTTACTCGAACTCGCACACGGCCTACAATGCACTAATATTGCTTTGAAGCAATAAACCGAACTTCTTAAATAAATAAAAATATATCTAAATATGAATAAATAAAATGACATTGTTATTTATAAAGTAAACCATTTTTGGCTATTATATTATATGCATACATTAAAATTCATTCAACTATTCTTAAATTAAATCTCAGTAGCTTAGGAAAACCGTAATGAAATTTGTGAATTGAGCTAAATTTTATTTAAAAAAAAAATAATATTAGTCAAGTAATAATAACAACATAAACATGCCGTTGCATTTCACCATTAATATTCCTACTGAAACTGAAGAAACTCGAATTTTTGAAGATTTCGTACGTAGAGATGCCGAAATTCGTGCTGCTCGTCTTAACGCAAGTTTTATGGAAACTTTCACTCCACCACCACATCTGCGAGAAAAATTTCTAGAACAAACAGCAAACGCGGAAGCGCATGCACAAATAAGCAGTGTTCCTACCTCTAAGGTAAGCAGTACCACATCTGTGAAGAATAGAGGCTCTAAGCCTACAGTGCCCCGCTCTGATGCAAAGCCTGCTGTATATAAAGCACCGCCAAATTCTTCCAGTTCTATAGTGGATGCAGCGTTAAACGTACGTATTTAATTTCCTCTGCGATTTTACTGACAATTTAAACACCAATAAATCATATATAAATTAATATAAATTTTCTTACCAGATTCGTGATTCTATATGTGATAATATACTCGATAACCAGCTTTTACTGAAGAATAAGGCTAAGGTGGAAACAACTCCAAATAGTTTACAAATTCCTACCGATTCGCCTATGGAAGTTGTTATGCGTGCGTTGATAAAAAAATTTAATCTTAAAGCTGTATGGATTAAGGATGTCGAAGGGCGCACATATCAGGTCTAAGAAATTAAGTAGAATTCAAGTTGTGTGTGTTTATTTATTCACAATCTATTAGATCTCATTTTTGACTGATGGAGACGAAACTTATGACGAAATTATTGCTGCTGTTCATGAGTGGGGTATAGGCGAGCGCGATGGTTCATCGATAGTTGTCAATAGCTGCATATATACAAAAACGTCTTTTAAAAAGAAGGAAAGTACTGATGAAGTGACACAAGTGTAAGTTATTGTCATATACATATATATCTGCTTAGAACTTAGAAAATATCTTTTGTGATTAGTAGGCTTAATGCTAAGAAGCAAGGTATATGGAGCACATTCATGAACTCGGTACGAAGTCGTCTCAATGTTGCAGAAGTTGTGCGTCGTGTCAACGATGATGTCAAAATAACATTTGATTTTGTGGTTATGCTTATATCTGCATCGTAAGTAAATTATTATAAGAGAGCTTCAATGAAACAAACTTAAGCATTTCTGAATGCATTCATTAATAGTATATTGTTTGTTCTACCTACAATCCACTAACAAACCTCAACATACATATGAAAGTACTATTATATGTAAATTACAGATATTTAACAAACAGCTAAGGTTTTCAGTTTTTCACTGAAGCTAAGCTCACTTAGAGTTAAGCATTCACTAATTCGCAATCCATTCATTCGCATTTTATACATGAAATACCACTGATACTATATAGCAGTAAAAAAGCAAGTACTAACAACACATAATAGAAGCAACTTCTAATATATTATGTTATTGTGCTCTATTCCTGTATAAGTTGTAGATACGTCTGTATGTTATTACGAAATAAATCAACGAGAAGGAAAATATATTAACGAATTGGTTCATTGTTTAAATTATTTTGATTTCAGAGTGTGTTTCGAGTCCGTGAATGCTTGAACATAAAAACGAGTATTAACGAGCTCAAACGGGAAGTTTAAACTAAATGAAATAAACACAAACATGCAAATAAATAATTAAATGGGTAACAAATCTCCAATCTGCTGGTTGAAGATCTTTGATTGTTATTGCCATATACACATTTATGTACACAATATGTGTATTCGGAAAACGAATATATTTATTATTTTTACGATTTTTATTTTCCAATTTTTATAGCGTACTAGCGTCATTCGGACTGTTTGAGGATAGTCCCATATATTTGGCCTCCAGCATGCTAATATCGCCATTGATGGGACCAATAATTGCCTCTGTCTTTGGCACAGTTATTAAGGATCGCAAATTATGCATATTGGGCCTGCGGAATGAACTGATTGGCTTATTTTTAGCAACAGCAGTCGGTTTTTTTTTTGGTTGTATAATTTGTTTGTTTGGAGAGGAGTTTGTCAGTACGCATGCAATAACCCAAGAAATGGCGTCTCGCTGCGATTTCCATTCGCTTTTGATTGGAATATTTGCAGCGATACCATCTGGAGCGGCAGTAGCGGTTGGAATTTTGGGTGGTAATATAGGTTCATTGGTAGGTGTAGCTATATCAGCATCTCTGCTGCCCCCTGCCGTGAACGCTGTAAGTTTAAAATAATTTGTTCAATAATTACCAATAAATAATCTTACTACTGTACTTCTGTACAGGGTATACTATGGGCGTTCGGTAGTGCATACACATTTTGGCATCCAGCTGGCGACATTGAGAATTTTGTCGTTAAAAGCAGCAATTATTTCCGTCATCAAGGTGCAGAACTGGCGGTTTTGGGGACACTCAGTCTTAGTCTAACTATTGCCAACATAATTTGTATATATACTGTTGGCATTTTTGTTTTGCGTTTGAAAGAAATCGCTCCAGAGTACATCAGTAAAAGCACACAATTCTGGAGAAAGGATATTAAGCTCGCACGTGAAATTGCTAATAAAGATGTAAATCCTGATAATGCCATCATGTCGGAATATAATAGGATGCCACAAGAAGATAAAAAGTTCCTGGGTATTGATTACGACAAATTGCGTGATATAAATATAAACGATAATTTCTACCTACACACTTGGTCACCAATATATAGTGACCATTATTGGGATAACTATGAGCCACCGCTACGCAAAATGTACTCAACCATTCATCGCCTCGAGAGGTATGTATAAATACATATGTTTTAGCTAGGGGTTAGGTAATACTAGTGATCCTGGGAGTCCACCCTATAAAACTCAGGAGTTTAAAGACCACCTTGAATCTTTAGCAAAGTCTAAAGGAACGCCTTGAAGTTGGCTACGATCCTGATTAATCATCGTTGCGCATACACTGGATAGTAAGAAAGCAGATGTAGTCCATTCTCTTTATCTTCAGCAAAACTATTACAGAAAAGTGTTTACAATATATGTATGTTAAAGAAATGTATGCAATGAGTATATAAAAAATGCTAAGTAATTCACACATGGGTTAGAACACTCTAAAGATCAATAAAAGGAAAGTACATAGTTCATGTTTGCAAATATATAGCATTACAGGGGTTTCAAAATGAAAGCTTTTCTTAATTTTAATGATATTCATAAACTCTTATAACTTAATTTTATTTCTTCTCAAGTTCTTTTCAGCATCCCGTTCTTTTTCTTAATTATCAGGACAATTACTGAAAAACTCCATTCAGACCCTAACATGTAGCATGTCCCTTATTAGAAATAACTAAAAAATACTCGAATTTTTTAATTTTTACTTTTTAATTCTTGAGCCGTAACTTCGTTACTATTTTCTCATACAGAGGTGCCAACAAATCAAGATACTGCAGTGTTAAAATTGGTGATGACGCCCCAAGCTGTTCCTTTGCTCGTCCAAAAATGACCTCATCAACTTCGGACACAAGCACAACGCACTTAGGTAATTTATATCCGGTTGAAAGTCTGAATGCGCAACCAGCAAACCCAAAGTTTCCCAAAGAATCCACATTTTAATATACTAACTCTATACATTTGTTTACATATATATTTTATATTTTGTTTTTTTTGTTGTAATGTTCAACTTTATTTGAATTGTTTGTTTATAAGTGTTTTGTATACATTTTTGTTATGGGCAATGTTATGGAATGACGAAGTAATCATGTAAGAGGCTGAAGAGATATATTTTTTATTTAATTAATCTAAAATGTTTGTTTAACGAAGAACGATATAATATATCTGAAAATAAAGCAATACTCACAAACAACAAACAACAAACAAAGACGCCTTTATTTTTTTAGGAAGTTTTAGCAAATCCAAACCTATCCAACGTATTACCTACATTTTCTCAAAGTTTGCTGCTTGCTGTATAGGCACCACTACGCCTCCGTAGCTAGCTATAGATAACACCTATTTGTACATATTATATATATTTAGTGATTTTATTTACTCTCTTATAAAGATAATTGATTTTTTTCAAACAGAATTGATCATCATTATGTAAGTATATATGTATGTATATAAATTAAATAATCAATAAATAATCATTAATTATGATCAAGTAAAAATATTTATATATATACTGATATATTCATAATCTAAAAATTATATACATATATAGAAATTCCTTACTTTTTGTGTCGTATCCTCTTCTTTAATCTTATTCATATTAAATAACCTTGTAGAGAAGCGTGTTAATGCTGCAATACTTAAGCTCGAAGGGAACTATTGCACATTGCGATACCCTTATAGTTATAGTATACCCTTATAGTATAGTATAGATACCCTTATAGAAAGAGGCAAGTTACATTAACCATTGTTGCTCCCAGATAAATATAACAAAATCTAATAAATCATGTCTGAAATCCCAATCTCTACCAAGGCAATGAAGAAACAGGCTTATACCCACTATCGTCTCGAGTAGCGACTTAAAATATTGTAATTGATAAATTCCATTTCTTCTTAACTTTACTAAAGTTACATGTAAATTACTTTACATGTAATTTCTAATTGGACAAATTAATTAATTATTTTATTGTGATAATTATTGTTTCAGTTTAAAATAAATTATTTTTATGTAATTTAACTAATTATGTAATTATGTAAGATGAAAGACCTATTAAATTACCTAAATTCGGCGGAATGGATTAAGTCTCTACTCTTCTATACTAGCGTTCTTGCAATGAATGTGGTAGCAAAACGACGAAAAATCGCTAATTGAGGTAAATTTGAAGTTATCTAATGGCCTGCCACTGCAACCAACCAACTCCAGTAACCATTTTATTTATTTCTGATTATATTTTTTTTATAATTTCTTTATTTGATAAAACTTTATAACATATAGAATTTCATACTTAAAATATTATGTTTTTTAAACTAAATGTCTACATTGCTGGGTCCTTGGCGATCAGTTTTTACTTGCGATCTCAGGCGCTTTACTTGCAAACGTTCACGCACAGCTTTTTCATGTCTACAATAAAATAACAATAATTAATTTAAGTCATAACAACATAAAAGGACGAGAATGAATGAAATAAATGTAAGATGTATATACAATTACAATGAAATTGGTGCAAGGAGCGGCTGAATCTGCATTCCGAATGTAGTTTTCTATAACGACTAAGCGCCGTCACTACTTCTATTATCGTCGTTAGCAAGGACGGTGGGACAATATGGGTTACTACAATTACAGTAATTGTATTTTTACAGTTGAAACAGATTACGTACAAGTTCTGTGCCAAATATGTAGCGCCAATTTATTGTATTATTTTTGTAGTATTAAGTAATTAACCGTTGTGGTTTATTGAAATTTTGAACACATGCTTTCTCTCCAACTCTCCGAACTAACGGCAATATGTTTACGAACTAATTCGATTTGGAGAAACGGTATTATAGCATGATCAATTCATGATCATTAATAAAAAAACTTCCAACGAATACATTCCTTACAAGATACTATAATAATTTTTAAAACCAATTAATATAGCAACATTACTTTGGATTCCACAGCAGTTTCAGTTTTTGTCATAGTGAAAGTTATACCTAAAACATAGGCAGATCGACTAACACTAAAATCAGTTTAAATTTCTAATGACATATCAATTACGTCCATGAGATGAAAGGTAGACGATTACCAACAGAAACGTGTTCTGATTGATGTATTGTTTATTATAAACCATAATTACCTTCTCCGTTGTTTTTCTAATGTGTCTTCAGTAGGTTGTGCGGCTTCTATTTCATGTTTTCGTATTAAGCAGCGTAACTTCTCCAAAACGTCAGCCACATTCATCTGCTGCGAACGGGTTAAATCGCTCTTCATTACAAAATAACCCTCTTTGGTGATTTTATTTTGTAGCTAATTTATTATAAATTGTTATTAAATTTAGATTAAAATAATTTGACACTTCGCAATCGGTACATACCGCCTTAAGCAATTTCTGTCTTGTTTTCTCTGGGATCCATTCAGCTTCCGACAGTTTAAAACGCACATCAACTTTAGTGTTTACGCAATTCACATGCTGTCCACCTGGACCCGAGCTGCGACTATAGGTGACTTCTAGTTGATTTATTGGTATATACCCGCTGAACTTGTCTTTGTTAGTCGGCTGCATACACTTTTAGTAAGGCTTTTTATTTTAAAAATATTGCATACATACCGGTGGTGGTGTGTAAAGCTGTTGACGGCTGTTCGGATACAATTTTTCCAGTGATAAATCACTTTTGAATGAAAGGGTACGCCCGAGTACAGCAGCTGACGCATATGACTTTCTAATATTACTGTGCCAAAATAATGACATAAATGTGCCATTGATTTTATTCATTATTAATCAAAAATAAAATTTAAAAAAATTGCAACACAAAAATAGCCTAGAATTATAACCACCAACATATGATTGCTTAGTGATGATTAGTGATGACAACTGCGGTCGGTGGCAATCGATGTAAATCGATAAAACTATCGGAGTTTACCCTCAGCTTCAATATGCGCAGTGCGCACATGTCGAGCGAATGGAAAGTAGCATCTGTTGTGTTAAAACGTGGTTGTTTACATTTGAAAGATTTTTATTTTTATTTACTTGCGCATTCAAATTGAGTGGTACATAACTTATGGAGGTGGCATACTTCTAATCCTTGCTTTTTAAATTTATTGCTTAAACTATATCTCCCACAGACTAAAGGTGAAAATACTTCGAAAGTAGTTTTCCAAGAACGTAGTGCAGAAATTGTGTCAAGTGGACACGTCTTTTATAATCCAGTACAAGAATTCAACAGAGACCTAAGCGTAACAGTTTTAAATGTATTTTTTAAATTATTGTCAAAAGAACGCCAAAAACAAAAGCAGAAGACAAATAACGAGAACGTCACAGATATCAACGCAGACTTCAAGTATGTGCCCGGAGAGCGGTATGAAGACGGTATGCGCATTTTGGAGGCACTTTCTGCCACTGGACTGCGCAGTATACGTTATGCAAAGGAGATAGCTGGGGTACGTGAAATCCTAGCAAACGACCTATCTAAACAAGCAGTCGAATCTATCAAAGCAAATGTGCGGCATAATGGCGTCGAGCATTTAGTGTATCCCAACCACAGTGATGCAATGTAAGTTCAAAATTTGGTTTCATTTCATTTTTTTATTATGAGTTATTTATTTTCTAGCATTTTAACATTATTTTTTGTTCTATGTAACACAAAAAAGGACATATATGTATCTATCAACATCGCCGGAAAAACGGTTTGACGTTATTGATTTAGACCCCTACGGATGTCCGAATCGTTTCTTAGATGGAGCTATTCAATCAATAGCTGAAGGTGGACTTCTGCTAGTTACTGCCACAGATATGGCCGTATTAGCGGGCAATGCGCCAGAAGCCTGCTTTGTGAAGTACGGCTCAGCAGCTCTACGCATGAAATCTTGCCATGAAATGGCTTTGCGCATTCTTTTATACAGCATAGAATCGCATGCGAACCGCTATGGCAAATATATTGAGCCATTGCTAAGTGTATCAGTTGACTTTTATATACGTATTTTTGTTAGAGTCTATACAAACCAATACAAATGTAAATTTAGCATGAGGTATGTTAAAATTTTAAATAAAAATCTTATCTTAATTGTTATTATTTTTGATTTCAGCAAACACTCTTTTATTTTTCAATGCACTGGTTGCCACACTTTCTCATTGCATCCGTTAGGTCAAACGAAACCAAACCCAAGCAAAAGTAATCCCAATCAAGTGAAATTCGGCATACCGACGGGACCGCCTGTAAATACAAACTGCGAACACTGCGCTTATAGGCATCATGTATGTTAACAAAATAGTCTTAATGTACATATTTACTTTTTATCAAGAACAGTGAGACAGTGCGACCTTTAAAAGCTAATTTAATACTTGAAAGTTTATACTGTCATAATTTGTGTTAGGTCTGGTTTTATGTTGTTGTTATTGTAGCCTTCAGGGATTTGATTGTGTAGTCCCTTTTGGATGTGGCGAACAACCTAAGTGGCTCTAGAAATTGAGTTGCTTTTCTGCAACTTACCTCTGTCTAATGACTTGAAGATAAAAGGGTTAAAAGTCGTCACAGGCAATAATCAAAATAATTTATTAATAGTAAGTGATTACCTACTTTCCAGCATCAGCTATATATTCCAGATATATTCTCCACCAAAATTTGCATTTTGTGATCTCCGCAGTTTTCTTACCTACTATTGAACCAGGTGGGTTTACTATTGACAACCCAAATTGATGACTCCACATTTAATATACTACATGCGAACTAACCACTTAGAGTAATGCTAAATTGTTCTAGCTTCTTTGATATCAGCCTTGCTAGTTTGGCTACTCATGGAGTTTTTAAGCCTTTAAGCATAGCGCTAAGTTCAGATCACACTTCATCACTCTATTACTGTTCCATCCTTTCAATATCCTGACAGCTATAAGGAAACCAACAGAAACTTTTAGTTAGCTGGTGCAGTAATTCCCTCCTGAAGGAGGAAAAATCCACATTTGTTTATTGACGTTGTGCTCCTTACCAAAAATCTAAATCAGTTAATCTACGGGTACCTATCAAGAAAATATGGTAGACAACTCTCGCCATAATAAAGGGAAAGAACGTTTAGATAATTGTGACCCTTAAGATAGTAGATTATTTGTCTACTATTAAAGCAACCTCCAATGTTTCTCACCTCAACAATATGGTGATGAATGCAATGAAATCATTACTCCAAATCATTTCCAAATATTGTACAGCAATTTTACCAACATTTGTACCCAATGCCTTCTGCAATCTACATTCCGACAGCATCGCGCTGTGCTCTCTTAATGATGTGATTAAATAATCAAAGCTACTGGGGGAGCTGCTGACATTATTTAAATACTTGTGCTGATTTGTCCGTTCCTGGCAGAATAATCCCTTAGTCAAAGCTTGGCAAACTGGTTAGAGAGCTCTCTTATTGGCTCTTAAGCTGATCCCTTTAGTATCCAAGGTTGTGAAGATTTTGTTTCTCATACAGATGTTGCACATGTTATATTGTTGTAGCTTTATAAAATATATATTATAAGATCATTTTTATTAATTTGTAACAGATTGGAGGTCCGATTTGGTCAGCTCCCATACATAACATGGAATTTGTGGAAGAGTTATTAGACGAAATTCAAGAAGCACCACTCAGAGATTTAGGTACGGCAAGACGTTTAAATGGTGTATTGTCTGTTATACTGGAAGAACTACCAGATGTACCTCTATATTACACTTTGGACCAATTATGCAGTGTGTTGAAATTACAAATTATGCCTATTTTAAAATTTCGATCGGCTTTACTTTTTGCGGGATATCGCGTTTCTTTTTCGCATGCATTCAAGAATTCTATTAAAACAGATGCCCCTCCTAAAGTGCTGTGGGATATATTACGTTGCTGGCAACAACAGAATCCAGTTAAGGATTCCCATATAACTGATGGCACTCCAGTTAAGGCGATTTTAGAAAAATCTTGCGAAGAAACATTTAATTTTAATGAACTACATCCATCTGCGAACCCCTGTAGCAGGAGAACGGGATTATCAAGATTTCAAGCGAATCCAACATCGCACTGGGGACCCGGTACACGGGCCACCGTTATGTAAGAGTATATGATTTTTTATAATATATACATAATTTTGTCTAAAATTTCATAAAATCCGTTTTTTTTAGGATTGGTGATAAAAAATTGCCAAAAAGCCAACGAAACCAAAACAAAAAGCAACGACAGAATATGAATTTTGCGGAAGAAGCAAACAACGAGGACAATTTAAATGAAGATGAAATCCAATGTAAATTAATAAAACTACAGGAATGAAATATTATGAGAAATTATTCCCGCGAGAGACCTAATTACTATTTTATTCACTTCCCTATATGTGTATTAATTTTAAAGAATTCGTTTTAGTTTACTTGAAATAATTATCTTATTATACATATTATATTTTTAATTAAGTTTCGATTTTTTTGAATTAATATTAATCGGTTAGCTTTATAATTATTTTTTTTGATATTTTGCATATCAAACTTTATTTGTTATTATACATAATCTGACTCGATTTTGATTTGAATCGTTAACTTGAATTATACTTACATAACTTCTGATATGTATCTTTTTATTAATATTAAAAATTTTTTTCAATATAACTCTTTGTATGTATTTTTTTTAAATAATTTACGTCTTACTTGGGTTAAATGCAAAATAATAAAGGAAATAATGAGCAGGAAAAGATATTAACGGGCAGAATGAAATGCTAAGTAATGATATACCACATTCAAATAAAAGAAATGCCTTAAAATGTCATTCGATATATTTTCATTAAGTTTAAATATTGGGTTAACGTATTTGTTCCAGTGTACGAAAACAAACAGTAAAGAACCACATATAGCGAATTTTTGTTAAAAAATTCCAAATAATAAAGTCCGAAACGCATTTATTGTTCGCGTTGTGTCCTTTTCCGGAAGAACGTGATCTTTTTAATGATCTCTCACGGAGGTAGTCAACGATCTTTGCCAAGAGATAGCCACCCCTATTCTGAATCAAATGGAAATGGGAGTTTTGTCCCTATTTTTCATAGAATCTTTCCCAAGCAAACTGTGTGGGAGATAAGTTAAAAACAGTTAAATTTAATATGCAAGTAACTTGGTATGATGAGATTTTCGAATATATTTCAATAAATTTAGTCTTTCTGGGCTTCGAAGAAAGACTACACAAAGTACACCTTTTTTACGTAAGGTAAAATCTTCAGTTAATTTGTGTGTGGAAAAGTTAACTTGCATTTTTGGTAGTATAAACCCCATAATCAATTACATTACAATTTCAAGTGGAAACAATACAAACTATGGAATAAATCATCTTCCTATTTATTATAAAATATCATAATAAACATTCATAATGTTAAAAACATATTTTGCCCTTAAGTAATAAGTTGATCATCACAACTTCTTTTATAGTAAGTTATGCCGCAATGAACGGTTAGTAAGTGCAAGCCGAGTAGAAAGGAAAACTTTGAACCCCCTAAACTACCCCTTAGGAATGAAAGGAGAAGATTTCCATAGCAATAAGGAAACTTGATTCTAGTAGAAGAAGGAGAGAGTGAAAAGACTTAACACCTGAGAAAGGAAAACTTTTGTGTAAGTGCATATAATATCATTTTGGTCGACAATAGCATACCGATGTCACGAATATCGTTCTAGCGTAACATAGTATACTCGTTAAAAAATTCCTAATAGTACCAGTTTGTCCAAGAACTTGAAAAAAAATGTTGAACTACGTCGTTATCTCGTATTAGTTATCGGATTTTATAGTTTGTAATTATATTTTTAGACATATCAGTCATATGAAGGAATAAACTCCCTTTTCTAATGAGCCTTGATTCGAAATTCCAAGTGTTTTGTAATGAGAAAGAATATGTGCGGAAGAAGCCGGTTTTCGCCGTGTTTGAAAATATGCGAGTTTTAAACGGAGACCCAAAAAAAAGTTTAGAAGCTTAGTTTCTATTACCAAGCAAAGCTTATATTTAGATGTCCAACACCATACAATATAAATATCCAAAAAAAAAAATTGTCCGTTCGATCGCCCATCGTCGGAAATTGAAAAAGCTTCGTGATTCACTTCCTCGTCTAACAATGTGTTAGTAATATGAACTTTGACTGAAACAAGACTGTTTTTTGAACTAGCAACCCGGTTACCGGTTCTGTGGTGTGGCTTTGGTGTGGATGCACCTTTAAAAGACATCTCTATATAAAAAATTTGCGGTATAGCACTACGATTCGTAAATGAAAATTCAAATACACGAATCGGAATATATAGGAACCACTCATATCTGTAATTGGTTGTAATTCAACGTCTTTGTTGAAAATGTTATAACCAAACCCTAGAAAGAAGTCGAATAAAATTCAATGTGTTTGTGTATTTAACATTATACATGAAATATTTATAAAGCAAAAAACTTGTTTTTTATTGGATAATATTTCACCCAAACATATACAACAAAAAAATATACAAAAAGAATCATTAAAATCTAACAATTAAAAATAACTGAATTTAATGATTTCAATTCTAATTAACACTGACCGCTTGAGCTTCAAATTTGGCAAAGTATACGTTATTTACAAATAATATATATAATAAATAACTCTAAAAGACGTTGATGGGTAATTAGCAATATTCAAAACAGCAGGTCTATGCTCAGTCAAATATTCAATTAACTAAAATTCACATTTGGCAGAACCCGAGTTTGATTCCTGGTACTTGCAGTCTCAAAAATAATTTACGAATAATTAAATACATGAATAATTTCCAAGACCACTGATGATGGGTATTTGGCAATACTCGAAACAGCTGTATGGTCAGCCAAAAATTCAATTATTTAAAATAATATAAAAAAATTAATTTTTGTTGTTGCAGTTCACTACTTTTCGAATAAAAACCTCTTTATTAATTAAAATTAATAAAAATTTTGTTGTTGTAATTCACTACTCTTCAAAAACCTATCTATTAAAACAATAACTTTTATTCAGAAAATAGTTTCTTTCGTCATAATAGACATAAATATCAAAATTCAATAAAAAAATATTTAATGTATACATATTTCTAATCTAAGAATTATTCCCACAATACAGCAAATTCAGTTAAACCAAATTAGATCTGTCTTTACCGTGTAATGTTTCCCGTTATCATTGTTATCATTATCATTATATTATATAGTGAAGAGAAGATAAAGAGTTATATAAACACAAAAAATCTATGCTATAATAAAGCAAAGACAAGTTTTCAAGAATGGGTGGGTGCGTTCGCTCGTTGAATTCGACGACCGAATACTGTTCAGCACTTCTAAAATGGACTCCACAAGCAGATCCTTGCGGGTTACAACAACAAACAAAGACGACGATAAAGCTCAAGATGATTAGTAAGCAGTCAAGATGATTAGTAAGTGTTGTTCTTTGTTGTTGTTATGTTATTGATTTGTTTATTTCGTATGCGTACATTTGTTAATTGTGTGAATATATAAGAAATGAGATCGGTATTGATATATAAACGTACACAGCGTTCTAGCTTACAGACAAAAAACTTGATCATCTTTATATTACGGAAAGAATTGTTAGTCCCGCTTTCACTGTTATAATATAATTAAACTTTATTATTATGTTGAAGAATCTTTCTTTTAACTATAAAATAGCATCTCGTTATCAATCTTTTAGACTTTGTGTTAAGCCTTTCATTATTTTACAAATCGCTTTCTAATCTTTAGTAATTGAAAGACAGTTTCTTGATGGATTTGTTCATTTATTAAGATTGTATTGATGTAAAAAAAAAAAATACTTAAAGTTTATGCTTTTAAGACGAGTACTAATTAGTAAAATAGAAGAAAAAGAATACTATTTGTTAGTCAAAATACTCACCCCTCATTTAAATCTTCTTCTCACTTCAAATGTTTGCTGAAATAATAATTTGTCCTCATAGAATTACCACAGTTGTGTTATTGTTGATAGTATTACTTAGAAGTATAGTACTGAATATCCAATACACAATAACTACTTCAATTGCGATAGATAACCTGCATAGTAAATTAGTTGAACCGACTTTACTTTACTTTAATTTAGAAGTGGCGAAGGAGCCGCAAATAAGAAACATACTAACTGCCGCAGAAAGAAACAGCTAAATACAGAATCACCTACATATTGATTTACAAAACTTGAGAAAATCTGCTAAATTATAGATATTAGATTTTCACTTGGCAGCAACACTCGCGTGGCGAGATGAAAAGGATGTCACGATGTCACCAAACACCAATAACACTATACAGCGTGCAGCAACCAGCAATGGGCACTAATCAAAAGACCTTGCGTTGCAGGCAGCTTGTTTAAATTGTTCTCAAAGCCGTTTTAAGTGTGCTTTCAAAATGCAGGATGACAGAACTGGACATTTATTCAAACGGAAGATGAACAGCAAAATTAGGTTTAGAGAGAGACGCCGCAGAGCTGCAACTCACTCGTTGTACAGTAACTGTTATGAAGAAAAAGTATACTTTTAATTACGCTTTGCATCATTGAGTTGAGATGGTAACACTTAACGCTCGTGCACGTTATAAACATAAAAGCTCCTTTGCTAACCTGTATTACGAACTGCTTTCTAACTACTGCTGTGTGCAATCGTACGCGCTTGGCTTGACTTGGCTTGGTTGATCGACAGGAATTGAGACATTAACTGACCCTTTTCCAGCTTTCACCTCATACTACCTGTTACCACTTTTAGCCACTCTTTCTTGCACTCAGTTTTACGAATACCACTTACCACTTCTAGCTAATTCGTTGATATTTTTTGTAATAAATTATTCTTGCTTTTTCATATTTTAAAATTAAATATGTATGTTGCAGTAGCAGCAACAGAAGCAGAAGCAGCAGCAGCAGCAAACCGCCTTATCAAAATTACGCCCCTACTTTAAATCTCTTTCTCCCACTTTACAGCCTTACACGAACAACAGGTTAGCCTGCATTATAAAATTATACAGAAAATGTTAATAACACTCGAAAATATAGTTTTTAATTATTTTTTATTAAGTTTTGCATGTTTTTACTACCATAAAAATATGATTAGTGCATAAAAGTTACACAATTGCGCATAAAACAATTGTATAGTCCGATTGAATTTTAAATATTCAAATATTAAACTGTGAGCTTGGAACTTAACTTATGCACTAGTTGGCAGAATATAAGAACTCACCCATAACGCACTATAACGTATAACGCATAACGCATATCGCAGTTGTATTTTAATAAAATTGTGTAACCCTTATGCACATATTGTTTTTAGTTAAAAAAAAAATAAATAAAAGAAACTAAATATTAATGCAAATAAACCAAAAATAATTAAACAAAAAGTTTAGAGTGTATATTGCATAGTAATTTATGTATATATATACATACGTTATATATGTTATGTATTTATACATCTTGTATATCCTACATAATATATATACATATAAATGTGTTATGTTCATATATACACACAATCGGATATTTTTCCCTGATTAGTGTAGGGCTCTCAATTGATTCCTGAACTACCGGACATAACGCTATCATTACTTTACTGATGATATTGCAATATGACTAAAACTAATCACATTTCAAACGAGGCAAGATGAGTTCATTCATTCGATAATGATATTGAGGAAAATAAGGGATTTTAGGTCTAATTTTATAGTGGCAGTTTAGAAGAGATTAAACAGCTGTGTTCAACAACGGATTCTATTCCTTCTTTCACTCAAATTTGTTCTTGTACAATTACACATATCAAATACAAATATTAGGTATGTATTTAAATTAACATTAGTTTCATATACATATGCTAAATATATACCAAATATCTATCAGATATTTTATTTAAAAATCGTATACAAAACGTTACAATCAAAATGTATATTATATACACATGACAAGAACGCTACATAATGCATGTACAACCGATGATATACTTCAATCAAATTTCAAATGTCCTTAGATATGTGATACATGACAAGAGTAATTAATAAATAAATAATAAATAGAAAAATGATGCCTCAAAAACTTGTAAATAAATCTCATAAATAGTTTATGGCATACTTATAGAAAGCAAAAAAAATGCCTATTATATACTGACAAAGCTTTTCAGATCAAACCGTCCCGATGTGTTTTCTAAGACCACATTGTCATCAACTAATTGAATATCAGTTTATACATGTAGAATTGATACTTTACAATGTTTGAATTAAATATTTTTTATCTACTTAGATAAAAAGTTATTCGAATAAATTTTCTCTCTCTCACTAGCTCTATCTCTCATACCTTAAACAACGTGCTACCAAATTTATCTCAGCCTTAATTTTTTAGCATCTGTTTCTATATGTTTTAAATATTAAAAATGGAATATAATATGTGGATAATTTGTCATTACATTTATTTTTATTAGAAATTCATTGGTAAGGTAAAGATAAACACAAAACGATAGATTTGTGTATACCCTACACTTTCTACAGTTATGGTAATGTTTAGTGATTTATAAATAATATTTAATCGTTAAAAAAAGGTTTACAGAGTTAATATATATATATATTCGTGTACATATATATGTATAAATATATATATTTGTAAATTGAAATAGTTTTACACATTGGTGGCCACTTTAAATCATTTGCTCTTCACTCATGTTTTGGAAAAAGTATCTTCTATAAGGTTATTAGTTATACGAACAAGATTTAAAACATTCGCTTGAAAATATTATAAAGTAAAAACTTTAAGAATTTTTTATTCTTTTTTAATATTTTTTTTTATTAATTTTTTTTTTTTTTTTTGATTTCAGATGGTCGTATTTTGGCCAATTCGTAAACTTTTCGAACGACTCCTTTTCAAGGTATGCACAAGAAATTAGGGATTTCGTTTTTTAACTTATTTTTCTTATATAATAATTTGTGTATTAATGAAAATTTTATTTGTCAAATTAATATTAAATATTAAAATTAATTATACTTATTTTTTATTTTTATATTTTTTTTGTATTTTTGTTTTTTATACCTTCTGGTGTTACATCATCAGTTAGTTAGCCCAAATGTAAAATTGCATGGTTTATTAAAATGTCAAAGCTGTGGAATTCACAAAAACAAATTATTAATAAGTTGTATAATATAAATAATATAATAATAAAATCAGTTGTAAAAAGAAAATGCCTTTCAAATTACCTGTTTGGCTCTTACATTTTGTTGCATTTGGTTAAGAAAGGTGAATGATTTAGTTGCGGCTTAGTGTACGCGAAATACTACGTGCCCCGCGATCAATGCCATTACGACTTTGACTACGTGTTGCAGATTTCCGTATGGGGCTACGTGAAAACTTATTGCGACGTACTGGTGAGCGACTGCCAGATGAACGTGAACGCGAACGTGGTGAATATGAACGACGACGGGGACTACGAGAGCGGCGCCGTACGGGTGAACGTGAACGACGGCGTCCACCACTACCACCTCCTCCTCCACCTCCACCACGACGACCGCCATTACGTCTATTTGGGGATGTTGGGCGACCAAAGCGAGCCATTTGCACACGCAACTCCCTGCCATCTAACATACGACCATCCATAGCTTCCAATGCATCCTCAGCATCTCTCTTGTCGTAATATCTATAAAATAAGGTATTATATAAGATATTAATAAATATTATTTATGGCAATAATAGTAGGCACTTGAACGAAGTGCAAAAATATCAAATACATATATTTTAAATCGTACAAAAGATGAACCTCATAGATAAGGTACAACCACAGACCATAATATACAGATCACGAATGTAGAACAAAAAAATGACTCCATAGCAACAAACTCGAGTAGCCAGCTAAAAGCACACATGAGCTTTGCGATGGGCAGGGACAGATGTTAACCACTTAGTGTCAGGTCTAGGCTATAATGTGGACGCGTAAGATCTTCCCAACCAAGCTCCCGGAGCACACATTTTGGCGAGCACATACCATTATCGCCGTCAATCCTGGTTTAGCCACCGTTTCAGGCAGCTCACCACGGTTTGACCACGTCCATTTTCTCTTAACGTTATCGTAACTGATCTGATCCACTTTTCATCCCTTTCAATCGCTTCAATTTTGTTGCAATTTGTGATTTTCCATTCCTGAAGCTTCCTGGCGTAACCCAATCGGACTTATACAACGCGAGATACAGATACAGCAACAGTGGATTTATCTTAAACATGCTGCTAAGGGTCATGCTATGTTGAGTGTCTCGGGCACGGCAAAATTGACTCTTTTGGCCTATTACAAAAATGCTTGTTATATTGACTTTCACATAGTATTGCCAATTTCATATTTTTACAATGTTTTGGTACTTTTTGGTTATGCCTTAATTTAAAAGGAAAAGTATGCTCACTTCCAATTTGCCACCAAAAATAACCAGCAAGAAAAAACTCATAGAGGCTGTAATATTGTTAACTTATTATTATATTATTTTATAATAATTGTTAACAGTACTTACAAAATTATACGTCTTTCCTTAAAATCGGAAAGTGTAATAATTTGATTGTCAGAGGATTATAAAATAGGCTGTGTTGCTGTGCCCAAGACACTATATAACATGGCCCTAAGATAATAAATGTTCTTTCGGAAGAATTTGTTAACTGTGCTTGAATGCTCTTTATCTTACATTTATGTAATTAAAACACTGAAACATTATATTAAATTTAATTTTAACTTTAATATGACCGTAATGACTGTTTGCTAATATAGAAACTAATGTATTGTTTTCGAAACCTCTTCATCAAGTACTACAAAAATCTATATACTATTATAACAATGAACCACTGCTCTTTTCATTTAAATTGTAATTTTCGCGTGTAAATTGTCTAGTATAGTTGCGTAGACAATTGTTGCAAATCAAAAATGTTAATTTAGCACTTTTGATGCAGTCACTTTTCAACTGAAATGAAAAGTGCATTTTTATTTAAAAGTGCCTACCATTCATTTTTCTATTAAATAAATAATACTTTCATTAAAAACTGTTTTATGTCGCCCAATAATAAGTTACTTCCAATTAGAAATAAACTGAAAAAAATTGTTAAAAATTACGAAGTTTTATTCTTAATACTCTCCTCCCCTACTATTACCTATCCACATTCTACCTAACCCATCTATGCGATATTCTAATGAATACCAGAATATCTCTTAAAACTTTATAACTTGCTATGGAGCTCCTACCAAGGTCTAAATGCACTACATATACATAAATCATTCAAACCTTTAGACATCAAAATGAATGCTTTTTACTCAATATGAAAATATCTGGAGGCATTGTGAATAATTTGCTATGACACCTATTAGAGCAGTGCATGCAAATGTTTGAATTCTATGATATAAGCCAATATTATATCATAGATTATATATATCATATTTTAACGTAGACATTTCTATAAGTTCGAAGAGTAAGTGATACAGTCTCTTCACATATTGAGTATTATGCCAAGATATTTATGAAAATACCAGAGAAAATGTTTGTACAATCATTTATTAAGAATTTCTTTATTGGAATGGAAAAGTCGTAAGCATTCAAAAAAGTTAACACAATTATTGTTTTTATTTAATTAAGTCTCTAACACTATTACGACTTTGTGGTGTTTGTAATTTAAATTTATTATTAAGTATATTAACTACATTCAAAAGAGGAAATATTTGCGTGAATGAGTCCAGAACACTCAGTTTCTCAGGCCGAAATATACGCAATTGAATTATGTCCAAGGGAATATAAAAGGAAACCCGTTATGAGGAAAAGCATATAATTTCTCTAACGGTAAATCAGCACTACGCTCACCTCGTGTGACCTTAAAACTAGTGTAGGAATACCTTCTACTTTTCAGACACCTTACTCAAAGGAACTGAGTTTACTTAATATGAATCCCAGGGAACAGCGGATTTGAGCGAAACGAAAAAGCAGATGAACTAGCCAGAAAAAGACAGCCTCATATTATATTAGGTCGCAACCATTCTGCGGTCCTTCATCCTTCAAAAAATTAAGGATGATTCTGAGTGTTTCCAGCTACTTAGACTGCAGCTCAGACTGATTGGATATTGCAATGACCTGCAGACAAGCAGCATCCATGACGTATCTATCAAAAGTCAGAACTAGGGAGCTACTTATGCTGAATAGAAGTGACATCCGATTTCTCACTGAGCATTGAGAAGCAGCTATCGAATCTAGATATTACTAGAGATGATAGCTGCAGACTTTGTTGCGAAGAAGGGGAAACAGCAGAACAGATTTTGTGTCACTGTAATAGTCTCGCTAGACTTAGACTTTGATACTTATCCACTGCCTATCCACTTATAACGGAATTAGGCAATATCTCTCCAAAGAACATAATGGAGTTCTTAACTACTACTCGTCTATGAAACTAAAGTGGATATGTTACAATAATCCTCAAAGGATGCAGTGACGTGGTTACAAGTTCCCAACCAGTTTAAAAATCTAATATAATCTATTAACTATATTACTTAGTTTTTATGAAGCTGATCTTACACTAAATAGACTTCATCAATAAGAAAATGATGAACACCAGTTCAGGCAAATAAAAAAGCCGCTCACTTCAGCGTGTACACTTTTTAATTTTCGAAATATACAGGATAAATTCTTGGAGCGGAATGATAATTGTTCAACCTTGTTTTGCAGGTTTCATATACGAGTACGAATTCAAAACTTATGATATGCACAGAAAAAAGAAAGTTTGTAATTAACATTATATAAAAAAAACTCCACTTTTTTTATATACGGCAATACTGAATCCGACCTTATGCGTAAAAATATACTAAATTGCGTTCATTTGCGATAACATAAAGGTTAAATTCTCCATTGAAAACAACTATTTCTGTTTCAAATTTAATATTTACTTTCATTAAATTTTAATTAACAACCTCGAGTTTTCATCAAAAACAAATGTTGGACTCTTAAAAAATTATAATTATCTGCTTTAAATATATCTGATAAAATAGTGTCCATTGTATTTTAAACACAAATAAATACATGCGACCATATATGTGTAGATAATTCTTTTGTTATTTTCGTACGTATGTTGACTAGTAGATATTCGTAGACAACTGTTGCAAATTAAAAATATTTTTCTAGCATAATAGTTAAGCAACTTTTCTATTTAATAAAAAAAAGTCACTATTGAAACAAATATGCAAAATTTTATTAATGAATCGCCAGATATTACTGCACGTGACCGTGTTCTGCCACCAAAAATATTTAAAGCATTTCATATTTCATATTAAATTAATTTTAATAAAAAAAAAAAAACAAAAATCTTGAGAAATAAAAAAAACTAACTTCTTGCAGAATTCAGATACAATAAAAGAAAAATATGAGATAAAAATAAAGCCGACCGGTGCAACAACACACTTACCTTACAAATGCAAAGCCTCGGCTTTCGCGAGTGTATCTGTCGCGTGGTATGTAAATATCACCTACTTCACCGCAGCGCTCAAAAACTCTACGTAGGTCCTCTGGAGTCGTCCGATAAGTTAAATTATCAACCTAAAGTTATATTTATACAAAATGAATTACTTTATGCATATAAATTAAATATACGACGCCTAAAAATCTTACGGCGCCATTTTGATTTTCTTGTGATTTTGCCGAAAAGCGCGTGGATTATGAACACTTACTTTCAGAGACACCATTCCATCAATACGTGGCGGAGGGCGATTAGAACTGGATCCACTATTACCATGACTCATTTTTGTATTAATAAATCGCAAAGCTCGTCACTAATCACACTATAATCGTCACTATTATTTTTTTTAAAACGCGTGACCGCAACACACCACACACTATCAACGACTTAATGGCAAATGGCAAGTTCGCACTTTGGCTATTGTCATTAGTTCTTCTTCAAAACAGTGTTGCCAGCTTAAATTAATAATAAGGTATTCAGGATGTCTGCGCATAGTTGCATGTGCAAAATTATTTGACCTTACAAAACAATTCCCTTTCATATAATCCTGTACTTGATTTGCAAGTTAATATTCAAGACCATATTTTCAACACCAATTACATCTTGCATATATGATTTTCAAGACTCTATTGTGAGTGATAGTATTTTTTTTTTTTACTGTTCGCTACGCAATACTTTAGCGAAACTGTCAAGATTTTTATAGATTTTGTAATTTTTGCAACAATGTCTGCTAGCCAATAATATTCGGAAATTTTTTTTTTTTTTGCTTCTCTTTATTTATACAACTGCCAAAATTTAGCATTTAGTATAAATTTTTACATAATGTTGGACGTTACTATTAATAATTGAACTATTAATAATGGATAAAAACAATAAAAACTGTAAATTAAATGGTATAAGATAGACGACTGAAACGCTTATATCCATCAGAACTATCAATATTATAATAACCCATAACTATATATCTAATATATTCCTAATAAACTCCTACTCTATTTAATTGACTCATTTATTCTATCATCTATCTATTAATTCAATTAATTCAATTTCGTATCTTATTCGGAAATATGGCAACAAAAAGTGGACCAATAATGGGGTCCAATAATGAGTTATATATTACAAATATATAAGTGCCAAAGTGTAAAAATATACCGCGCAAATATTTTAAAAAAAGCATGTTCTTAACATATAAAGTATTAGTATATTTTGCTGTTATAATAGCCGTAATTTTTTCTCTCAGAGTTGTAAAAAACTACATTAAGCCTGGTTGAGAGCAATTGACAATACTTTTAAAATATGTTAAATGCTTATTTTTGACATATGCTTTTAAAACCCGTAATTTTTTCTTTCAGAGTTGTAAAAAAAATAGTTTTAAGTCTGGTTAAAAAAATTGACATCACTTTAAAAATATGTTAAATGCTGTTTTTTGACATATGTTTTTTGTTGTGTAGTGTATAATATAATATATAAATATTGTAAACACTAAAAATTAATTAATTTAAATAAAAGAAAACAAAATGAATAAAAGAACAGAAATGACATTTTTTATTTTATTGTTTTGATATATTGCAATTTATTATATCTACTATGTTTTATCGGATGATTGGTGTTTTACAACATATATCCAATGAACATTCACAATAGATTGATTTTTGAATTTTGCTGCACTGAAACTTAAGATGAAAAATTTTTTAAGAATTAAACCTAACTGTGAAGATTTTAAGAGCATTGTTGTTGCTTCACATGCTTCCTTTCGTTAGTTGCAACTATTTTTATGCTACTCTGAACGAAAAAATTACGGCTAAAATCACAATATCAATGATCATCAAATCAGAAAAGTGGTTTTAAATGTTGTAAATCGACTGTCTCCACATGCCATAGACTAAATATTAGTTTATTTCAACAAATATATTAAAAGTAATAGCATTTTTGCATTTATTCTCTACCAACTAATGATGAAGTCGTCTCGTGCTGATTGTGTTCCACACATAAAAGTTCAATAAAAATTATCTATATGCATACAACACGTACAAAATAAAAAAAAAATACTTCAAAAATTAAACTCACTGCCATAACATATATCGTCTTCTACTATAAACTACAATGTTTCGATTTTCTTCCAACGGATCTATTTCTCACTCTGTGAACAGCAATACCCAGTTGAAGGGACACATCATGTATATAGTCGATACATTACTTTAAAATGGAAATTTATTACTACAGCTAAGAAAGGCCTAAAGAAAAATGTAATAAATATCATGAACTATTGCAAAATTCTTAATGTTAAATATTTTTGTGCAAATCAAAAAAAAATATATTTGTTTTTTTAGAACTCTTGAGAAAATATATTTTATATTGAAAATTATGAGCCGTATTTGTTGCAAGGCAGGATTTTTCAGATTAAATTAAATTTAGGACAGACTTGAAGATTTATAGCGAACAATGTCCAGTCAACCACCACAACAATGGATAGTGATCTGGGTACTGACGTCGACGCAACATGAAATCTTCGTATATACATATAAATATGTCATAAAGTTTAACTTTACGTAAAAAAAATTAGTGTTTTCAATGAAAGCTTAAGGAGATGAACTCAAAGTTAATTCCGTCTGTCCGTAAATTTTACAGTGCTGGTTCAAAATATGACATTTTTATTCATAATACTTTGTTGTCAATCTCACCTTTTTGTACTGTACAATTTTTGATAAATGTATAATTTTTTTTACAAATATATTATAAATATTTTATACGAATTAAACGTAGTTTTTTAAGGAATGTTATAAATTATTACACCAAATGTTAAAATTGTTGCCAGTGCCAGAGAAGGATTAATATTCGAAATAAAATTAAGTAAGTTTTTTATAATGAAAGTATATTTCCGTCTCAAGAGATGACGGAAATATAAAGTATATGCACGTATGTAGGAATAAATATATTTATTGCATTTTTAATAAGGAAATCATTGAATACTTTGAATATTGTGAACTTTAATAATATGTTTCCACTGGGTACTTAGTAAGTTATTTAAGTAACTTTAAGATTTTGTCGTTTCCACTGACATAAGTTATTTATTGCATAAGAAAAAGCTTTTGTGTCAGAAAGTTCTGTGAAAGTTCTTAGAGAACTTCTATTTGCAGATATATTAATATATAATAAATATTGATAATCATATATATTGATACTTTAAATCATTTGTAAATATATATTTTATATATCCATTTAAATCTGAATTAATAAAAACGAAGATTTTATTAAAAACTTACTTCCTGAATGCGTTTGTTTGCACCTTGACGAATATGTATGCATATAACCAAGTATTGCTCAATATATCTGTATTCATTGAGTAGATGAGTTAATTCACAGTGTGTCTCCCAGTGTTTTCTGTTCAAATACACTGGTACGAGTAACCGTTTAATTAGTTTAAAAAGTTATAGATCTTTTGTGGTCTGTTAAATGATACGTTAAATGATTGTTGATTTAAATATGATTTTTGTTGATTTATAGTTAAATTTTTGGGACTATTTTTTGAGTCAATCTGCTATTTGGATTGGCGAGAAACATTTTCTTAGTGAGCGTGTTATTTCTTTTTATATGAACTGCTTCATTGGTTGCTATATAAATTAGCTTTATTTTAACTATTGCGTTGGGTCTAGTATTTAAAACGCTTCGAAACACATAATATAACACTCTAAATGAGAAAATCTCTTACATTAGCTTGGTGTCTCCCATACAGCTCTTTTAAATTTATTCTTTCGTGCAGGAGCGTTCGGGTAACTTTAATAATGACGTAACCGTCAATCTGACGTTATAGACTGCTGACCATTACAGTGTGCCTAAATGAAAGTGCTTAGTCCTTAGTAGTACAATGTGAAAAGTACACTAACGCTATACATGTGCTATATTATATTTTCCATAAATCTATGGAAAAGCACAGAGACTCTACACATTTAAGCACAGATACCGCATATGGTCAGGTTTAATATCTTCCATACAAAATTTAAGCAGATAACATGGATCTGCTTATTTCTGTACTTTTCTTTATGGTTCAAATACGATTTGAATATATAATTAGTGAATGAGGTGTAGATTGTAGCAAATACAATCACAGTGTCAGTGTCTTCTCTGACACTAGGTGCTCTACATGATAGTAGCACAATTACTATCTTTCCTATATAAGACTTTACTAAGTTTTTGAACGTGACAGACAATTGGTATCATGTGCATGCTTATTGCGAAGATGTTGGAAATACTATGGAAATATTACCCATTTTAAACTATTTCAATTTATTGTGTTAGTAACTGTTTCTGTCACGACATACAGTTTTCTTTACTGTGAGCTCCAATGTATGTACTTTTTTTATCCAGATCATTGTCATTTCAATCTCGAGTTGCTTATATTTGCCCTCCTCTATTTATATGGTGCCGCAAAGAAATGTTTATAAGCACAATTTTCCTTAACTGGCTATTCAATTTCTTTACAGTTTTGCTTGATGTGTCTAATATTACGTCTGTTTCTTTAATAACCATTGTCATGTTGGTCATATTTTTCTTAGTTGATAGATTATCTTCATACTTTGACTATATATTTGTTTGATTTTTACGAGGGCATCTTTGTTTATAAAATACATATCATCACCTTAAAAATATAAGTACAATAAATTTGAGTTTTCACCTTTTAAATAGTAGAACAATGAATATGGATGTAGGTATGATATCATGTTCTCATTTACTTAAAGCATTTTTCAAACTATAACATAATCATAATACTTACTGTTATCAAATAGTCTATAAGTAAAGTTGTTTATAAACGACAAAGCACGGTTTGCCAGACGACATGCTCTATTAAAATGTGTATGTAATATATGCAAACTTATTAGAGACTATTAGTATAACAAAGCGTATATATTAAAAAATCTATTTAAATATATAATTCTTATATACAAAACAAAATAAATATTTTTAAAGTATTTTTAATTAATTTATTAATATTTAAATTAAAAATAACTAAATTATAGCTAAATATATCATAACTATATTATAATATATTTATATATATTATATTATTATTATATCAAATATATTTATAATGATTATATTACCGTTAAGACTAAAACTAAGATATATATGATTACGTATTTATCATAAATATGTACTAATTATTTATATACTTCCTATTTCTATGTACTTTATTAATCACAAAATTTTAATTCAAGTCAAAAAATTTAGTGCGCTATGATCCTTTCCTTGCTTAATTAAAAATCATACCTTTTTTAACATACGGTGCTTTTGGCAGCTTTTACCTGTGGCAAAAAACAACAAGTTGCTTACTATAGGCGCTAAACGAAATATTGACATCTCTGTTGTAATCTGTCTGTTATGTTTTCACAAAGAGCAAATCTTGCATATGTGCACAGAAAGGTGGATTCACTCCAAAGTGAAAGGTTGCGAACGAACGCACTTTTACAGGTACGATTACCTGCATGCATGGCTTATTATATTTTCAACGGTCTGGCAACATAAATGGGAATATTTGACAGCTAATATATCACAGCAAATTCGAACAGAGTTTACTGCATTTCAATTTTAATAAAATCTGTAATCTTTTTTTATATTTGTGTTGGGTAAACAATAAACAATGTCTATATATCTAATACGTATTTATTTGAAATATACGTGTTTATTGATATTAATAAAATAATTATAGCGTTGAGGGGAAAGTGAAAAAATATGAAGTTCTATTAAATTTAAACTGTATTTAGTTCAGATAATTATAATCTTGTTACAGTAAATTAATCTGCAAGTGAACTTTTCTGGACTGTTCTAAGCTGACAACCTTTCTTAATAATGATCAAGTTTGATATAAAACAGATTTCAGCAACCATTGATCTTATAAATAAATTTGACACGATTCTGATTTTGTGTTTACGCGCAGTTAACAAAGGATTTTAGTAAATATAACTATAGATAACTATATATGTTGGAGATATTTACATAAAACTACTAAGTTAACATTTCTGATGGCGACAATTATCAGGTCTGTTCCACGAGCTTCTTGTAGTAAAACTCGAGTGAAACACAAGTAAAGTACAAACTAGGTCTGCTCCACCAGCTTCTCATAGTAAAACTCGAGTAAAACACAAGTAAAGTATAAACTGAGAGCGTAACACAAATAAAGTGCCAAATGAGCAAAGTTTATTGAGAACAGCAGTGGCGCGCAAATAAAGAATATAAAAACTTAAATTCAAACCAAAACAGCTGATTCACACATCAACACAAATTTTATTTTAAATGAAATGTACGAGTAAAGTCTGTGTAGCATTTTCAAAATTCGACAGTGATGTTACACTCTTTCATACGCTCTCATTTTCTTAATAATTTACTAGTGGAACTCATTTGTGTATACACAGTGTTACTCAAAGTTACTACGAGTAGCTCATGGAACAGACCTATAATTTTTGTAAGCACTAGTTGACACCAGATGGCACCATAATTGGCTTTTTGTTAGTGCAATTAATACAAAAAGTTAATTGCTTTAAACCTTTATAATTTGAGAACTAGGCAATGTCGACGTATAGTGTAGTGAGGTTTCTGCAAATATCTGACTATTAAAATTCGTTATCAAGTCAAAGTGCATGGGAAATTGTCATCGTGGCATTTATTTCGAATAATATTTGATGTGTACAGATACCTGAATATTTGTCTATACAATGACGCTTTATCGTCTTCAAACACTGTATCAACCATAAATGTATTATATTTTTAAAATATTGTTTTTAGTTTGACAAAGGAATGATTCATGTCAATTTCAACTTAAATGTCAAATGTGTACATGTGTAAATAAATATTTTCTAAGAAAAATAATTAATTTCTCTGAATGGTAACGCTGCTATTTTGTTGGACCAGATTTTTTTTGCGTGGCCATTTTCTCAATGAAAACCGAATAGTTTGTGACGTTCCGGCGGATGAAAATATTGATAGAATTTAGTCGTTTTCGGAATTAAATTTAAAGTTTTTTATTCATTGACATATTGAATTTGTACAATAATTTTCTATTTACTTTAATATTCCGTTGGAAACGTATTTAAATACTGGTATATATTTTAAAGTATAAAATTCCAACAGTGGTAAAAACGTGATTTTATGCGTCCAAATAGGAGAAAGCAACAAAAGGCGAAAAAGTTAAAGTAAGTGCAAAGCGAATTGAAGAATTGAAAGAAACGTGTAGAGCCGTCGACGGTGTCGGTTTTGTGGTATTTGTGCGCGTGGAATAAGTCGTTGACCACGTAAAATATTTTAGGGTAACAATATTTAAATCAAAGTTTTGAGTAGAGCAACAAAAATAAAAAAAAACGTAACACTAAATTAAGAAAAAAAAAAATGGCTCAAGATAACGCCGATATATCTACAAAATTTTCAACACTAAATGTAAATGCTGTTGAGTTTGTGCCAAGTTTTGGTTACAGCAGTGCTGCAGCCAGCGCACTAAATGCCTCAAACACCGTCGCCGCTTCAGCTCCTCTCAATTCCATACAAATGGATACAGGAACAACAGTGGAATCTGGTTCTGCCAGCGCTACACCGGCTACCACACCAGATTCAACTGGATCTGGAGGCTCCACAAATGCATTGAATGCTGCCACGACAAAAACAATGCAACCAGCCGATTCACCCATGCAAACATCACCCGTGACAACACCTTCAATTTCTGCGCCCATAGAAAATATCAACATTGCTGATAAGGTTGCAGTTAGTAACGGTAATGGTAAATATTTTCTTTGTTCTTTTAATAATTTTACAAAAAAAACTATATATATATATATAATATAACAAAAATTGTGAAAAATTACTGCAATTTTATAAAGCACACAGAGCATATGTTTTTGTTTCTACATGACGTCACACCCTCCAGGATAAGCCCATTGCTATATTTTGTGAAATAGTTATTTTATTGTTGTTTTATTGTGTTACTTTCTTTAATAGACGGTAAAATATTCGTATATAAGTAACGATAAGTGTAGAATGTTAAGTAAACACTAATTTACTTTACTTGCTTTACTTTTAAGTGGTCGACTTAACCTCAATTTTGTTTTTTAAACTTACAGAATAGTGTAGTTTGCTTTAATAATTGTATTTATATGTAATGATTTTTGATTTTTTTTTTTTGTTTATTGTGCAGAAATTAATAACAACATACATTATAATATTGTTTTTTAAATTAACCTATTATATTTATAATTCTACGAATTTAAATTGATTAAATATTGTCTTAGTTTTGGGTTTGGTATTTCCATGCCCACGAAACATTGCAATTCGTCTACATTGCTGCAAGCGTGTTTGCCTCCACCACATCACATCCCACTTAAGGTTATATTGGCCTTTTGTCCACAACGTGAAAGCATAATATAATAATAAATCGAAAAAAAGAAATGAAAAGAAAAGAAAAGAAAAGCACAAAAATACAAAATATAATACCAAATGTTGTTTGCAAGTGCTTTGTGCTTTCTGCTTTCTGTCTCTTGTGTTCAGCTCCCATTCATTCAACTCTGCTCAGTTGCCAACACAACAACAAATTGTTAAGAAATTTCTGTTACTTTTACCTGTCATTCCTCACATTTTGACACGTTAACTTATTAGCGTTGCAATTTCTGCTTAACCTCCTTTTAATTTTTTGTAATGATTATATTTATTTCTTGTATTCATCTATTTATTCATTTATTTCTTATTATATTTATTTTATTTAAGTGAAAATATGAATTTGATTTGATCTGTATGCAATGACGCAGAATACTAATTTTCTTAAAAGCCAACTTTAGAAACATAGAAATATTTATTTTTTTAATTTTTTCAATATTTTTTCGCTTCTAACTTCATTACTTGTTGCTTTCCAATATATTCTTATATATAATTTTTTTATTTTAAAGCGTGCAAATGTTGTTCAAACTGCTTTTATCTCGTTTACAAAAATTGCTCACCTTCAAGCAAAATATATATAAATGAAAAAGAAAAACTTAAAAGCAACTCTAATTAAAACGTTTAAATTCAAAATCACGAAATTGCTTTGCGATTTAAAAGTGGTTTTAGGAGTAGTTGTGGTTGTGTTCGGCCAGTTTTCATTGGGAAAGGTTTCGAGAAATAGGCTTCATCAGCGACTAAGTTTGTCTAAAGCACATTTCAGTTGCTTTCGTGTCGTTTTTCAAATATACACCTAAAGATTTATAAGGCTCACCTAGTGCACTCTGCTACATAAAAAAAAAACATGAGTATGCTTATCTAGAAACTACTTCTCTATTTATGCATTTATATATATTGTTATGAAATTCTATGCTTTTAATGCTAATAATAATTACATATTACATTAATAAATTTGTTAATGAATCTAATATGTCTTAGCTTAAAGAATTCAATTAAAAATATTGTAATTTTTTTGTGTATATTTACATTTCTAATAAAGGTGATTTAATTTTTGAATAAAACATTTTCAAAATAGTAATGTTAAAAAAAAGACTATGAAATTTCACTTCAATGTCTCGTGATTTAGCGAATTTTAACAGTGCTTTTGCATATCTATTTAGAACATATCCCAGAAAGATGTGATCAAATGAACGTGCACAACAATTCCGAGGAACACTACCTGAAATTCTGCACTTAACCTATGCTTTCTGCAAAAAACAGAATGTATTTCGAGTTACGTTTTGGTCCCTTGCGTCCTCTCTCTTTAAAATCATATCCGTTCTGCCTTATTCACGATTATATATCGTGAAACAAAAAAAATCAAACATAATCTACTTACAATATTTTTAAAATATATACGCCAAGAAACATTCGTTGACCCTTGATAAATCATATCATCAGATGATATCAAGAGCGATGATATACGATAGTTCTTTCACTAAATTTTGAATCTTTGCTCTTTCTTATAAATTCTCAATTATTCTTTAGGCTATTAGCCCTCTGAAATTCCAGAAATGACTGGGTCACTGAGGCTGCCCTCAGTCTACAACTCTCAAGTACCAATTAATACCAGAGTATTTCTAGTCTTATGAAAACCATAATATCTGATTTGCGTTTTTTTAAGATATTTTATTTATATATCATTTGTATATCATATACTTTAGAAGATATGATTTTTATTAGAATATTAAAAATATAAAAATAATTTTATAAAAATTATTTAAAAAGATAAGACAAGACAAGACAAGACCTTAAAAAATTTAATTGCAGTAATTTATTTCGCTGCTCAATTGCTAAATCAGCACTTCAAAATTCGTTGACTAATAAGTGGCCTGGCTACATTTCTGGAGTAAAGTTTACAAGAATTAATTTTTACCTGTTATTTCGCTATGCTTGCACCTCTGAATTTAGTCAAAGCAATTTTTTAGTCTGTATATGTACATATATATTTAGAGGATGTATAAGCAAAGCAAGAGGACGTATTTCTTAAAGATTTTCAACGCAAAAGTAAATAATTACAGTAGTCCTTAAATGTGTCTCAGGTATCTACATCTACCTAACTTTGACATCTGTAAAAACAAAACAATGGCTTTCGAGTAATGTGCGAATCTCTGGAATTCAACAAACGTCTGCAAGTGTATAGCGAATGGATTTTAATGATTTTTGTTTCGAGTACCAATTTAAATATGTACAGATAGTCTTTTGTAATAACCACTGCAGCGACAAATAGAATTATATATTGTTCAGATTCAAATTACCAAAAAGTATTAATACAACCTGTTCTTGCTTTACGATTTTCTTTTCAAAACTAAATCAGAGAGTTTCGTTTTCACATGAGTCCGTAAGTCTGCAAGTCAATTGCAAGTATCAAAAACCATTCATTATTCTCTATTTTGTTTGTGTATTATTGTTTTAATACTCTTGCCTCTACTACACGTATACACATCAATCAGTAGATATATGTGAAATATTGCAAACATATCGAAGTACTGCAGATGGTTTGTTTTGCATCATGTATTAATTAGTTTTAATAGTTTTGTTGTTTTTTTAAAGAGCCTATGTGATTAGACCTGCTCCTGGCAATTTCAAAGCGTAGAAAGTGTATCAAAGTGTAGAATTCGGAAATGTCTCTATAGTCTTTGTACCTTATAAATATTGATATATTGCTATTATTTACTTTGGTACAAGTTTGTGTTCTGACTGAATAAAATGCATATACCAGCTTATTGCATTCTCCATTCATCTTTGGTTTTTATCAACCTTAAGTGTATTTCTGATAGTAAATTTAGAGGTCGTTAAAGTAATATTAATCTTTGAATTATTTCACGTAAAAAAATATTTGTGATAGCAAATTAAGAGGTCATCAATTTTTTTCGGAACAAATGGATGGAAGTTGAATCTTCTACGTTGAGAAGCAAATTATTTGTTTTATTGATAATGAATTCATATAAAACGTATTAACATATGAAATCAATAAATAACCAACCTAGTTCACTAGGTATTAAGTCTATTTACTCTCATCTCTCTCCCCTTATTACTGGAAGTAATCAGGGGAGAAGTTTTTACATTGCTGTGGAAATCTTCTCCATTCATTCTTAAGAGTTGGTTTTAGTGGGTTCAAATCTTACATTGTGAAGTAATAAATAGCCATTCAACATTTTAATTACAGCCAGCCTTCCTGTATAGGTAGGTACCTCTGATAGCAGTTTTATCACCTGCAAACCTGATGAACATAGGGTTTCAGCAATGAACTTATTATGTGACAAAGCTAAGGGGATTGGTATTTGTTTGGGGTATTCTTAAGAGTTCATGCCGTTATGAATGTGTTAATTACTTACAAGTTTTGAGCTACACTTGGTAAACTGAAACGAATACCACCACGTATGCTTATGCTTGAAATCCTTAAAACTCTATGTACTTTTACACTGACTTTTTTTATAGTTATTTTATTTATTGAATCTTGATTATTCGTTACAATCTGTTATATCTAGTTTGATTAACTTGATGTAATATTACGTATAAGCTTTTCTATACACATACTAGGACGCGCATAAATTAATTAATTAGTGCTAAAAGTTAGAACTTATTTCAAGAAGTTCCCTGGAAATATTCAAAAATCACATCAGATCAAAATATTTCTTTATGCTTTAGGGCATTTCTTCCTTGGCTCCTTCCTTGATCTATTTATTCAATTGGTTGTTGATAATATACCAGTACGCAATTGTATAATGTTTTGGATACGGCTAAACTATGGACGTACTTTAATAATAAAAAAGAAATGTAAACTTTGTCGGTTTAGTATTATAATGGGTGTAATATGTTTATTCAGTAGAATTTCCATCAGTTTTGATAGTTTTATCTAGGTTGAAGTATCACAGATATTTCAGTTTTTTTCCATTGCAGAACGGTAAATGCCTTTTTTTTATTAAGGCATTAAATAGGTGAGTGAGAAATACAGATCCGTTTGGTGATAGCTGCTGTAATACTATGTCTATGATAAAGTTATGTTCTGGAGTTTATATTACGTTTAACTGCGCAATTGCGTCTACGATTTTGTTCAGCATTATATGGTATATATTGTATGTATACTATTTTATAGGAACTTATAGCTGGAATGGTTGGTTCAGAAAATGTATTAGTTTTTTTATTATATCTGCCAAGAGTTGAAATGTTTCATTGTGTCCGATTTTCATTCAATACCGATTGTGAGTAGCTGACAAAAATTATTCCCATCAGTATTCTTATGAGAAAAATATTTTACAATGATTATTTAGAAGTGTTTAGGTAATTGACTTGGGGTGTTTTCCTTTGCTTCGCATTTCCATACTACATGTTTAGCTAGCCCAGGGCATTACAAAAACATTTACATATATATGTCGCTGTTAAAGAGTGTTTCTGTGTTGTTGTTGTAGATTTGTTTTTATTTGTGATTTTCAGAAAGATCGAAAAGGTGTTGAAGCCTCCAATTGATGACGACTATGAACCCATTGTTGATATATAGAATATTTAAGGCTCTGCAACGCTAAAATGTAACTTATTTTCATCAAAGTGATTTTTGTATAGTACCAATATAATAAAGATGAAATATAATGTAGATCTCAGTAAATCCACTCAGTCTAATTTGTCTCAAGTTTGTTTAGTAACGGAGATTAAATGTTAAGTTTTTATTTTATTGTAAGCTTTGTTATTGGGTTTTACTGTTTTGCAAACGAGTGGAGTGGAGTGGAGTGCATTTATAAACAAAGCAAGTTGCATATGAGAAAATGTGCAGTAAATATAATATAATCAAAATCGTTACTATATATTTGCTTTTTAAAAATAGAAAATGATCCTGCTGACAGTTGGGACACCGAAGATGATCCTGTTATAACACCTGAAGAGGAGGAAGTCGATGAAGTGGAGGATGCCGAAAACGAAGTTACACAAAAAGTTTCGAAAAAGAAAGCACCGAAAGTTGAAGAATCTAAAAGCAAAAAAGAGCATGTAAACGTAGTATTTATTGGTCATGTTGGTATGTATATAAATTTATAAACATAAATTAATACGCATACACAGTACACAGTAAAATTAAATTGCATCAATTATATTCATTTCAGATGCGGGCAAATCAACAATTGGTGGCCAAATAATGTCTCTCACTGGTATGGTCGATAAGCGAACACTAGAAAAATATGAACGTGAAGCTCGTGAAAAATCACGTGAAAGTTGGTATCTCTCATGGGCTCTAGACACAAATCAGGAGGAACGTGACAAAGGCAAAACAGTAGAAGTAGGGCGCGCCTTTTTCGAGACAGAACGTAAACATTTCACTATACTCGATGCACCAGGACACAAAAGTTTTGTACCAAACATGATTGGTGGTGCTGCACAAGCAGATTTGGCTGTTTTAGTTATATCGGCGCGTAAAGGGGAATTTGAAACGGGCTTTGATCGTGGTGGGCAGACACGTGAACATGCTATGTTAGCAAAAACTGCGGGCGTTAAACATCTTGTAGTGCTAGTCAATAAAATGGATGATCCTACTGTAAATTGGGATGAAGCTCGATACAACGAATGCAAAGACAAGATATTACCTTACCTCAAAAAATTAGGTTTCAATCCCGCCAAGGATTTAACCTTTATGCCATGCTCAGGATTAAGTGGTATCGGTATACGAGATCAAATACCAGAATCAATATGCCCGTGGTACAGAGGACTAGCATTCATTCCATTTATTGATCAGTTGCCTTCACTCAATCGTAAACTCGATGGTCCATTTATAATGCCTATTGTTGATAAATATAAGGATATGGGCACAGTGGTAATGGGTAAAGTTGAGTCAGGGTGTGCACGTAAGGGACAGAATTTACTTGTAATGCCAAATAGAGTAAGCTTAACACTGATATTTTTTTATAAAATAATTTATGTCATTTTTTGCTTTAATCAATATTAGACTCAAGTTTCTGTAGATCAATTATGGTCAGATGATGATGAGGTCACTTCTGTTAGTCCTGGTGAAAATGTTAAAATTAAGTTAAAGGTTTGTTAAATATTTAAATAATTTGAAAATGATGAAATATAATTGTTTTAATTGTTCAGGGAATTGAAGAGGAAGACGTTTCACCAGGTTTCGTGTTATGTGATGCATCGAATCCGATCAAAACTGGAAAGATATTTGACGCTCAGGTTGTCATATTAGAACACAAATCAATCATTTGCGCTGGTTATTCGGCGGTAATGCACATACATTGCGCAGCTGAGGAAATAACGGTTAAAGTAAGCTATATAAAAGTTGTGAAAATAATTTAAAGCATTTAATTAAGAAAATTAGTTAGTATTTATTATCAATGGAAAAAAGTTCCATTACAAATTTTAAAGACTTGTTAAAGTATTAGTTAAAATTGCTGTAAACATATAGAAATTAACTAAAAGTTGATTTGTGTTAATTTCTGATATATTAAGTACAGATAATTTACTAAAGTAAATTTAAAAGTTACTTACTATATTTTGAGTGATCCCAAATTTAAAGCATTTATATTTGGTTTATTTATTCAAAATTTCCCTGAAATAAAAGCAGTCTCGGGTTTTTTGGTAGTAGTTGGAAGAAAAACACTTTAATTTTTTTTATTCGGATTTAATATCGTCCATACATTGTTTGAGATCAACTTTGGAATATAGTTTGTTTCGATTTCAAGAGTGTTTGAAAATACAAATGTTTGGAATCAGTTGCGACAACGAGATACGTCCACGATATGTTAAATGGTTTACAAAACGCAAGTAATTTTAATGTGAATCGCTACACAATGGCTTAATATCGCAAGCTTTTAAGGTGAATACAAGAGTCAGATAAGATTGTATATTCGCACCGTACTATTCATATTGTGATTTAATACAATGCTATAAACATTACTTAATAATTACAAAATTAAGTAGTTTTCTTTTATTTAAAAGCTCTATGATATACAGATTTGTGTTCGGTGAGTCATTGCTTAGAGGATCTCCAGTAAAACATTAACACTTTTACTAAAAACATCCCAGACTAGTCGCAAGGCCATATGTAACAGACTCTACTTTTTAAAAAACGATTCTTTTAAAATTTTGAATACCTCGTCCGTGCTCAAACCTAAATCAATTAAGCAAATGCTATCTTCGACCAGTTAAACAACATCTGGGGACTCAGCCCCAACAAAACGAAAAACACATTTTCAATTCGAATGTAAAGACAATACTAATGTACGATTGTGAAAGACAAATATATGTCAAACCTGTGCTTTTAAAAGATATATGTGTTATTATCCAAGGAGTATATATAACATATAGTGTATAAGGAAAATCTACAGCATGAAATTATGGAGTGCCATTAAAAACGTGAAGAATAACTTTCGGTACTGATTTTGTTGTCACATATTGTATTGAATGAGGTTGCGACAAATTGTGCAGTATTTACGCCTTGATCAAAGAAAATAAATTTCATTAATTTATAAATCGATGCAATATTATTTGTAATGGTTTTTTAAATTGCTACTTAATAACGATCCCTCGTTATTTCATTAATCGATCCCCTCTTTCATATCAATATATCGAAATCTACAGCAACATCAGTGAGGTCAAATATGAACTATTGTTAAATGCTTTTCATATCTGGACGTAGTATTTTTTTCGAGACAACATTTGCACCACAATAAGGTTCTGAACAGACCACCGCTTTTAATCTCTAGAAGTTATGAACGACTTTAACGTGCTGTAAGAACTGCAATGGTCCAAAACAGGTCAATTGCAACATATGTTTAATCTAACTTTCAACTTAAATATAACATCGAGCCCAATTAATTTGTGGTTTCACCTAATTGTGAGATTCTCTCACTTCGATCATTTACATTCTCTGGTTCTTTGAAACCCTTCCCCCCTGTATTCCCTTCCCCATTCTTTTCTCTCCTTTTCTTATTTCCCAATATACTTATATTTTCTCATGCATATTATTATGTGAATTAAACAAAAACCGTTCGAAGCGGAAGTGGTTTAAAGACATACACTAAATTGCTTATATTAATAAGCAATTGTTGTTGTTGTTGTGGTAACCCGCGAGGATCTGAAAAACAGATAACATAAGAAGAATTACACGACGAATAAATGGGTTACGATGTGGATGGATAATGTTATGGAAACCAGTGGAGATCTATCGCCTATATCGAGTATAATTCCAAAAGGAGGGACTATGCCAGTCACAATTACTAATTTTTTTCAATTCTGTTCCAGTTTTTAGTCCGGCCAAAATATAGGGCTTTTTTCCGTTTTACGGTTTAGTTCCGGTTCGAAGCCGTTATTTTACATAGTAACATTATGTTTAAACATCACTTATTATAAAATTAGTTAATTATTTCTTTGTAAAATTACGATATGTAAATGATCTCAAAGTTTTGCCCAAATGGTATTTTAGTTTCTTCAATACAGTTCGTCACGCCATATAAACAATTTATATCTTTGATCAGCATGTCAATACGATGTTGGTAATTTGGACTGTTCTTCTGTTTGTATGTCGATAATAAAGCGCCACACTTTTTCTAATTAAATCAAACTTTGCATACGGATTTTCTCTGAATCCATATTAGACTGCAATCATGGGTGTTGCAAAGAAACATATTGTGCGGTATGCCCCGCTAAAAGTGTGTTCTAAGGAACATTTCATACTATTTTATAATAAAAAGTGGGCCCAGATATGATTAACCCTTTTCGTTAGTTTTTATAAAACGAAATTTTTGAAGTGTTGCTTTGTATAATTTTCGAACATCCCTCTGGTGTGCAATCACGCACCTACATAGCTTAACTCGTATTTTGACGAAGAGCGAGGAAGGTTAACTTTTCTACTTGCTTGTTTTTTTTTTTTTAACGATGACTCAAAAGCATCGAAAGCCTAAGTCAGTGCGAAACTTTAATCCGCTATAAACATGTCTTCATGTCCGGACGGAGAGTCTCGGATATATCCTCAATTTCCCGGGTGAGTGGGCTCGCAATAGCCTCACTCATCTCTGCTCTGGCTTCGTTGATAACTAGACAATCTACTACTCATCTTATCTACTTGCTTGTGTGCGTGTGTGTGTTTATTTATTGAAGTGAAGTGAATATGAAATTAAAATATCAGTAGGTATATATATTGTAATAATGTATATTTTATTCTTTCAGGCGTTGATTTGTTTGGTAGATAAAAAAACAGGGGAAAAATCAAAAACACGTCCAAGATTTGTTAAACAAGACCAAGTTGCGATTATGCGTATAGAATGTTCCGGAATGATTTGCCTTGAACAATTTAAATTATTTCCACAAATGGGAAGGTTCACACTTCGTGATGAAAGTAAGTCAAATTAAAGTAAATTAATAATTAATTTAAATTAATTTAAATTAATTTAAATTTTTTCACACAGATAAAACCATTGCTATTGGAAAAGTTTTAAAGGTTATCGAATAAAGTGTAAACGGCCTTTATGAATCAATCGTTAACGTCGAACGCTAACTTTGAACAACTCCTTGATTTTTTTAAAATCTTAAAACTAAAAAATTAATGAAAATAAAGATAAAATATATAAATACATATATATAAATATACATAATATACATAAATAAAAATAAATAAAAATGTAAAATCATAACTATGATTTAATAAATATAAAAAATTATTAAAAAAATTGCAAAACATTACAAAAAAAAAACAAAAAACCAAATGAACGAAATTAAAAATGATCATTTCTGACATATAGAGATTTATAAATGCAATAAAAAGCAAAAAAAAAGAAAAAAATCGTAAATTTGCTATGATTAAAATACATGAATGTATTTTATATTAATTGTTTATATACATAAATACGAAATCCTTTATTCTTTAATTTTAATAATTTTTTAGTCTTTGTTAACCTAAAGGATATTAAAGAAAAATAGAAATGGAACAGTGCGATTAGTGAGAAATAGAAACGCAAATTAAATTGTATATACATATATCAGAATCAATATTAAACCAACAATTATATATATATATATGAAATTTTATTATTTCTACGCATGTAGAATGCATACATAAATTAAAAATAATTAAAATAAATTAAAACACACTAACGCGTATCGCAATATAGTCACTAAATTACATATAAGCGTTGCTTAATACAAACTGAAGAAATTGTATAAATCGCGCTGCTGGGAAAATATTAAGGAAAGTATGTATGGAAACAACTAATAGGAATTTGTTTTAAATCGGTGTTCTTTTACATATATATACATATATACATATATACAAAACTAGCGCTACAAAATATTGTTAAATAATTTAAAATATTTATTAATGATTATACTTAATTTTAATAATTGGATTTGCATGTCATAAATTGTAAGCTTTTTATTTCGTAATTTTATTAGCAATATTAATGATTTATTTTTTGTGTTTTTTTTTTAAATGTTATAAAAGAATGTTAATATTTAAAAGCTTTTTATATATACAATTTTTTACCATTCGGTAGAGAAACTTAAGATGTAAAATAAAATTCAAATTTGCTTGTGAATACACAATGATCATTTATATATATTTTTATAACATTGTTTTCATTAATGAAAATTTATTTATATACGTACTATAGATTTTAATTAAAAACAAATTTAAAAAGAAACAAAAGAAATCTAAATAAAAAATAACAAAATATTTGAAAAAGTAAGGCAAATGAATAAAAAGATATTGATAAAAAAGAAAAACCCAAATAATAATTTGTTCTGTGCTGATTAAAAAATTAAAAAAAGACAACTTTTTAAGTTAGTATTTTAATATTTATTTTTTAAAATATTTTATTTCAATGTTATTTAATTTTTTTTCAATTTTATTTGAACTTTTTTTTGAACTTTCAATTTTATTTAAATTTTATATTAATATTATTTTTGTTAATTTAGAATATTTTTTAAATAGTTCACGTTTTGTGTGTAATCTTTAAAATATATAACAGTGATTTGTATGAGTAAAATAGAAAAAACTTGTTGTACTGTAAAGAAAATAATAACAAATAGTAACAAAAACAGAAAAGTTCAGATGTACATGTTTAGATTTGAATACAAGATGTTTACAAGAAAGTTACAGTACTCTACTCCAATAGGAGCCCAAATCCATACAGATTAGTTGTTTAAACTGCTCAAACACGGTTAGGCTCGATCACCGTTTATTAAACTTAATTACATACACAAAAATTAATTCTCATTATTGTATTATAACAATGTATTTAGCGTAAAACATAATAAATATTATCCTATAGGTTTTAAAAGTGTATATTTTAAACTTCCATAAAAGCCTAAGCAAACGTTTTTTGTAATTGAATAGAATCGCATTTCTAACAATGAAGATGTTTTTACAGAGGACTGCTACAAACTGCTACAAAAATGTTTTAAGCCTTATAGGACTTTCATTTCATCAGTGGATAGTTATGCCTTCTACTTACTTTTCTTTACACAACTGAGATGTGTATCTATCTACTTTCTCTTAATGTGCTATTAATGTACGGCATTGAACCGCTTGACATTTTCCAATTAAACACTTGCACGTTAGACAATGGCCCACGTGGTGGCCATTGCGGTTTGATTTTCATGTAAAATAGGTTTCTGAAATAGAGAGAATTATGGTCGAAGGTGTTAATTTACAAAATGGTAATGGCGATTGAATGAGAGAAGAGATCGTTTAATTTTGTTCTTCATTTTTGAGTTATTAAGTCAAAAATATTATAAAGTCGGTTTTGTTTTTTTTAATAATTTTAGCTTTTGTTTCCATCGTTATTTTTAGTTTGTTTCTAAACGTATTTCAGCAAATTCTTAAAAATTTCTGCAGAAATATGTAAGAAATATACTTAAAAAAAAAGAAAAAACAAAAACGATTAAAATAAAAGCTAAACTTCTTAAAAAAGAAAGACAATTTAGAGATTTTAAGAGATCCTTGTTACGGGACACTGTCCAAAATGATAATAGAGTGTTTAAGTGTGATTTACAAAAATGAAATGCAACAAAATTAAAATATGATTTGAGAGCATAAGATGAGAAGAGAGTATTACCGCACAATCGCTAAAGAAAGCAATGCTAGCTAATAAAGAAAGCATGTTAGATTCAAGATCATCCGAACATTACAATCATCATTTTCATACTTTTATCAGCTTGTGAAATCCACACTTGGTTGTCGAAATTTACGAATGGCTCCGGGACGTATACCCAACCGTTCGTTTTGCTTACTCTGCTTGAGTCAGTTGGTTCGTACTTCAGAAAATTTCCTTAAGCCTGACCACGAATGTACATATGAGTTAGGTTGAGCACTAACTGCTTACATGAGCATGTTTCATAATTAAGCTGAATTCAATTTAGTTGACAATTCATATGCAGCGTGGCATTTTTACTGTATTACTTGATTTATTGCTTTACTATATGATGTTGAGGATTTTCCTTTTCATTTTGTTTTCTACAATTGAAAAAATATGTAAACTTCATATTCGTAATGTATAAATTGATTAATATCTCTTGTTTTATTATATTATTTGATTTTTAGTAATTTATTTTTCAAGTTGTATTGATTTCTTTCCATTTTTTTTGAAATACTTTATTTCGTAATTGAGAGGAGAAGTAAACACTGTTTAGTCAAAACGTATTTAACGTGTGAGATCCTTTCTCATACTTTTAGAAATTTACCATTGCATAAAGGTTCTATTGAGGTTCTGAAAATGATTCAACATTCTGCAATTTTTCTGTTTAAATAAAGCTTTTTTTATTAAATCATATATGAACTAAGAAATCATACGGAATATTTTGATCATTTCGGAATAATGATGAACTCAGTGTCGATAAGACAGATCTATATAATAATGTGAACATTATGATCTCTTTACTCTATCGTAAAAGAAATAACTAATTTGCATATAAAGGGACAAACAGACAGACAGACAGACAGACGTAGATAGTTACACTAATACTTTGTCAAATTTTATTTAACTTTTTCAAAAGTAAAACGAAAATGATGTTTTTTTATGTAGAACATTAAAACGAACTTATTATTCATTTGGCGGATGTTTCCTATATATTATATGAATAGCTACATTATATTCTAAATTCTTTTTGATTTGTTGAGTTTCATAGGAAATTTCAAAGCTACATTAGTTTTTTAATATACAATATAACAATGAAAATATAGAACTGAGTCCTTATAGAATAAAATTTTAGTATGAAATAAACGATAACTTAAAAAACAATTTTTTTAAAGTAACTTTAGTAATAATATATAAGCACTATATACAAATTTATTGTGTAGTATATATAATATATGATAAGCTAATTGAATTCTTAATGAACCAAACAAATATGACATTAATAAGCAATATTAAGTACCGGTAATTTCTAGGAGTTATACATTCTTTTTCATGTGAGTTATATAGTTAGAAATAAGTTTTAAAATATAGGCAGTGACTAATAACGAATAATAGTAATTCCATTCAAATGTATATTTTAATGCTTCATAAAAAATTTGAATGTGTGAAATGAGTCTTATCTATATATAATTAATTACTGTTTTTTTTTTTTTGTATTGTTACTCTACATTTTTCAAAACGTTGCCCTAATATTAGTTCACATAATATTAGAAACATAATATATAAAAAAATAAATAGATTTTTAGAAATATATAAAACTGTATAAAATTTAATAAGAAATTCAACGTCTGAGTCTAAATTAACTAAGCGCAGTTTTACCTCACATAATTAATAGAATTTATTCCTATGTTCAAATTCCTGCGAATAGAAGAATACCTGTTGTTTGGACTTAACTATTCTTTTTTCTATACTTGTTGCATGTGGAGTTGAGTCCACTAACCATATGTCGAGCAATTGACAAAATTTGTCCTGTAAAAACGTTTAATCGTCTTCAGAAGGAAGAAATCGTACGTCAATAGAAGTTCGTCTTTTTTATTGACGATTATTTTGAATTTGAAATTGATAATTGATTACTTTGTTCTTTGTTCTTTGATTATTTGATCTTAAACCCTACTCAAACCTCAAACCCTACTAGTTGAAGAGAGATCGTTTAAATACGATTGCGATTATATCCAGAATCTAAACTTTTGAAATGAATTGTAAAAGGGTAGATTAGTAAGATTATATAGAAAAGGGGAGAAGCTATAGAAAATCGTATTTATTAATTTTTTATATATATCATTTTTTAAAACTTTTAATTTTAAATTTAGAAACGAATTAATTTTTCTTTTTATCAGCACATAAAATTTTTCTATATAAGCATTATTTTATTAAATATTTTATATAGTAAACAATTGGTAGCCTTAATATAAATAACTAACAATACTAGCCATTATAAAAAATATTGAAAATTTGTTCAAAACTAAGAATGAAGTTTATAAAAGCAGTTTTCTTTAAAAAAACAATTATTCGTAATACTTGAATTCCTCAAACATGTATTTTAAATGTAAGTTGCATATTTTTATAATTTGTATTAGTTTCCGTAAATA